AACATTAAGTAGGACATCAGCGTGCTCTCAGTATGTCTCAGAACTGTGCAACTGTATAGGAACACACCACGAGCCAACCTTTAGTCAAAGATTTGACACGTTAAGTGTATGCAACAAACCCAAACCCCGATCGAATAGAGAAAATATCATTCGACATTGTAAGACAAAAGACAAGAAAAATGCAACATATGCAGCAAAACCTTGATCCCCAGGAAGGGACCTCATTGGCCGCTGTTCACCCTAAGCAGCAAAACCCAAACCCAAGAGGGAAAAACAAGACACCAAATGAGGGGACTCCATCTGATGCTGCCAAACCAAAGGGTGCAAACAAGAAGAAGATGCAGAAAAATGCAAACCCAAACCCCAGAGCCAGAAACCCTGGACCCAATCGAGGGCCTGTGCCACATCAGCCCAATGCCCACTTTAAACCCAATAATGGGCCTGGGCAACATTGGCAAAATCCACAGTTTTTGCCAAAACGAGGGCCTGTGCCACATCAGCCCCATCCTGACCATAAAACCACCTGGGCCACCTCAGCCACAGCCTCACTTAACACCAAATGATGGCAGTCGTCCATACAATGAGACTGATGAACTGGGTGCGCTGAGATTCCACCTGCAGGAGGCTCAGCACATGTGCAAAACCAATCTTTATAAAATGACAGCTGCAAACCACAAAGCTGCTGCAGCTAAAACTCAGAATGATTGGGTTCACCTGCAGCTACAGTGCTGTAGACAAAACGCTCAAAAAACCATCCTTGAGCTCCAAAAACAGCTGGAAGAGGCTCGTAGAAAGACACCCGAGGAGAATTTCACCCCTGAGGAGAGTGAGACTCCTGTTGAAGACAGCAACACAGCTGCAGAGCTGAGTGTGGACGCTTCAACACAAACTGCAGAAGCTCCACACACAGACTCTACAGATGTAAAAACTGTTCGAGAAGCTGAGTTGGAGGTCCAGTGCAAAAAACAGCAAGAAGAGATCGAACAACTCCGTGAGCAGTGTTGAATTTTCCCAATTCTTTGAATCTTTGGGCTGAAGGAGGGACAATACTCGGTGTATAAATGCTCAATCAACAATCATTTATTTCCATACAATTCAACAATCAGAGCATTACAACGTCCGGACGGGAGAGATGCTACCAGAGGGTCAGGCACATGTCTCAAAATGGTGACGGGTTGCTCAGCTTTTATAGTCTCTAGTGGCCCCCAGCTAGTCGTAAAAGCCAAAACATCACATTTTTTCTCTGTTACAGCGCCTAAGTTATGACCTCAGCAGTTGTTTCTCTGCTTTCTGTAAGGTGGGGGTGTGGAATGTGGTCTGTCTATCTCCCCTGTCTTTAGACACAGAGTCTCCTGCTTACAACCTTCTCTTCATGATTCAACAATTAAGCATGTCAAGAAAACAGTGTAACACATTCCCAGCAGATCAAGGATACAGAGTGATGCACATTTATCTAATGAACTAATATGTGAATATGTTCTGTTAACTCAAAAGTATAATGAGAACTAAACTACATACAGCTCACACACTCTATATTAAAGGGTATAATGTGATCTACAGCAGTATTCTAATTCAACTACTTTGATTACATATATAAGGTAACATATAATAACAGAATAATCTAATAGCAGCTCCTCAAAACTCAAAAGAATCTTGAAGAGGAAGTTGCAAAGCGCAAAGATCAGGAACAAAGAGTCAACTGTGAGCTCACTGAGCTGAAAGACAAACTCAGCACCAGTGAGGCTCTTTGTGAAAAAAATGATTTGAAGGCGCAAAACTTAAAAGAAAAGCTGGAGAAAACCAAAGCTTCCCACCAGGAAATCGTGGAGCAAAACCTGGAGAACACAACAATCCCCAACCAACTCGGGCAAACAGAGGAAGAAAAGATCACACTTCAGGAGTTTTTGCTGTCTCTGCAAGAGACAATAAAAAAGCAAGAAGACCAGTCCAACGTTGCCAATCCTGAAAATTCTCCAGCCCGAAACGAGACACTCCAGGAGAAACAGCCAGAAAAAGAGGAGGCCAGCGCTACCAAACCAGAAAGTCCAGAGGCCCGAGATGACCAAGTGCCAAAAGAAAAACCAAAAAAGAAAAAGAAGCGCAACTGGTTTTGGAGACTATTCACCTAAGTGACTTCCACTCCGTCTCCTATAAAATCACAGTAATATACAACTAAATATTATCAGTCACTTCCAGTGCCAAAACAACCATTTAAAAGCATATTTGCTTTACTATTGAGTTGTGTATAACTTTGTCATCGGCTACACCCCCAACCGGTCGCGGCAGATGGCCACCCCTCCCTGAGCCTGGTTCTGCCGGAGGTTTCTACCTTTTGAAAGGTAGTTTTTCCTCCCCACTGTCGCCAAGTGCTTGCTCATAGGGGATTGTTGGGTTTTTTCTTTAGTTCAGTTCAATTCAGTTCATTTGTATGTAAATACTGTTGGATTTAATTGAACTGAATTAAAGAAGATTTTTAGGAGACGGCGTAATCACTGAGTGAACCAGGGTATTATAACATCTTACCCATGAAAAACTACCATCAACCAATCAAATAAACAATTGGATTTAACAAAACATCTGAAGTGTGAACATTTTGTCTCATTTAAAACATGTGAAAATGTCCAATTATAACAACCTAACAGCAGAAATAAAAATGTTTACATCCTGGTTGAAAACATTGTTCTGTGAATGATATCCACTGTGTCTGTGCTGTTGATGCCTTTTGAAAAAAAATTCTAAAGTATTGTAGTTGAGTACAGCTCCAGGTTTTGTACAGAGCACTATCCATTTGCTGTAACTTTACTCTGCTATCTCATCAATAATGAATTTGATCATCATCTGTTCCCTGAATGCAATTGACACCCTCTTCTCAACGAGAAGCCTGGGCTCGGGTGGGCCTGAGTGTCCTGGAGGTACTTTCCCTGCCGGATACACGGGTGGCCAGGTCGTGTGCCTGGCGGGACTGTTGAAAAGTTATTAGCTACATTTGCAAAGCCCTTTATTAAAATATGCTCTCATGACATTCTTGCTTGTCGGACGGTGGTCAGAGCTATCAGTGGCTGATGAGTGGGACATGATATGTGACCTCTCGGGACACTGGGGAGGGAGCCCGAGTTAGTGTCTTGGGTTGAGAGATACTGACCTCAATAAACAGCTTGAGGATCTGCGGCTGTATGGTCTGGACACTCAGGTGAGGAGAGGAGCTGAGCTGGAGACATCTGACAGAGGCCCTGGTACAGAAGATCTTAAACTCCCAGTTTGAAGTGAAGACAGAGCTGAGTGTAAAAGCAAAGATCTCAATTTACTGTCTGAGCTACGTCCTTATCTTCACCTATGGTCATAAGCTTGATTTAAAGATTGAAAGAATGAGATCACGGATACAAGCAGCAGAAATAAACTTCCCCTGTCAATCTTTTCTGTTCTGCGAGAGCAGACATTTTTTTTTTTTTTTTTAAGTAGAGCAAATATATAACTGTGCTTTAAAGAATATGATTGTTTCCTTGCATGACAAATGGAGATGAGTTCTCCGTCACAAATGGTGTGGTCACCTGCAGGTTGAAGGTCATTGCAACTCCAACCCACATCCACTGCTACTATACTTAAAAGAAGTTAGGACAACATTAAAGACTTTGTTCAGGTAATTGCATTTGGATCACCTAAATCATGCCTGGACTGACAAACAAATCGTCCTTATAGATGTTACAACATGCCAAGCTTCTGTTGTTGAATGCAGCAACCAGCAATGACACTGGACTGTCATTCCTACCGGAGAATTGTAGTCTGATTGCATTACCAGAAAGTAACCATTTCAAACATTGAGGACAGCTATCCGGTTGTTCAGTCTGACGTCACTAGCCGTGTCTGGACCTAAACTCCGCTGCAGGTCCATATATCAAACGATCACTATGGCATTACTGAGAGTTGAAAAACTGTCTAAAGTCTTTCATCTTTAATAAAATGATCAGCGTTCTGCTCTACCAGGTGTAACAATTGAGTTTAACATCCAGGCATCCATGAAAACGGAATTTATGACATTTAACGGGGTTAAAAGTTAGCAGGGAGTTAGCTCGCTAGCTTCTATCTAAATACAATATAGCATGTCCTGACTGCGGGGTTTTGGAAACAAATTAAAACGTACAGCTCTGTTATCACTTCCAGCATAAATGAAGACAGAAAACTAAACAGCAGTGATGTTTGTAGGGTTACTGAAGTTGGGCTAGCTGGTATATAATGATGTGCTACGTGACCGCTAGCGACACAGCTATGTTAGCATAATATAAACAAGCTAACTTTTTTTTCACTCAATAAAAGTTAACGTGAGTGTTCTCGGTGGTCAGGAACAAATGTAATCGCATGGCAGGATGCTGTAAAAGGACCAAACTTCAGCCAGGAGAACAACTGAGATAATCCATCCACAATACGAGGTTAGTCATTCATATACTGCTGCATGGGCTGGGCTGTAGTTACATCCTAAGGTTTTAAAAACTGATCTTAAATAAATGATTAGCGGTAATAAAAGCCGAGGGAGGTCAACAGGGATCACTGACTGTTTTAGGAGCTTTTTGAGATTAAATAGAAGAAAATACAAAACATTAAACATGTTAACAACACAAAAGCCATATTAAACGCAGACTACTTTAGGCCCGGAAGTAGGATTCGTCACGTCATCACTGAACTAGTACCTTGTACTTGGATAGTACTAGTACCTTGGAATATCACAGGCAAATGGCAACCATGAAGAGGCCGCTTGGCAAGCTGCAACCACCAAACACCTGCAGAGAGTAAGGCGACTTCTGAGGAGTCAGCCAAATGGGGTGGACAAGGTCCAGGGCAAAATCTACACCCTGCTGTTCGTCAGATACCCTGCTGGGACAAGAAGTTGGCCAAAGGAAGCAATAAAGCCACTGACCTTATCATGCATAGAGGGTTTCAAAGCAATAAACAGCCAAGTTTATAAGGGTGCAGGCTGACTGAGATTAACTGAAACAACAACAAAGCAGTTCGGTCAATATTAAGATATTTTATTCCCATACCATTTATACTTCAGGATTAAGCCAAATACAAAAAAATAAAAATACAAAATAATTTGTTCCTCCTGTCCGTGTTGTGCACATAGCAGCAGGGCGTCTGTTCCTTTATCTTTCACAGAGATGATTCATTCAAATACATCTTTCATGTCAGTTTTAAGATTTCATATTAATATCATATTTTATCAACAGACATGAGGCTAAATATTGCGTTTCAAGTCAGTATAAATAACTCAGAAAGGCATTAGATTACTACGGAAGGAAGAAAAGGTACAAATGTGGGTCCCACACATAAGGCAGAACTGGTTCAACATCACCACCATCTCAGCTGCACCTGAGAATACTGCTGATGCTCTGGTGGCAATTCAGGGTCCCTTTTATCACACAGCTTAATGGAAAAATTCAATGACTCGGGTGTATTTGTAAGTGTGTGTCAGAAGTGAATGTGATGAACAAGTGAGGAAAAAAGGGGAAGGAAACACTCCAGATTTACCTCAACAAATCCAGAGGTAGATTGACCCACAGTGTAGGGGGAAGTGGAAACTTACATGACACTGTAACAGTCAGTTTACATTTCCTCAGTACAACTTCAACTTCTTCATTGGTTCATATGTTAGAAGTAAACCTGATCAACCACAACAGGATCAGTGCTAAGGTCACATGATGCTACATAAAACACCTTTAAACAGGCTTTAGTAGGTCAGCTGTTTCCTGGGTTAGCTTTCCACATATTTAATACGTTTGTACTCATACTCAAACTGATTCATTCAGTTTGAACAGAGAGCACACCGACACACACATTACAATTTTTAGTCAGACATACAGCTCAGTAATCTCACTGCTCCATTCAAACACTCTTCACAGCCTCCATTTGTGATGTTCTTGTGCTTTTAGTTGTTCAGTAGTAATTTTGCCAGAGACTGGAGGACCTCCCTCTTCTCATACAGATACATCTGGGTCTCCCACAGCATGTCCACCAGGGCTGCGTCGCTCACCTCATCCAGCATCACCTCCTGAGATAGTTGGGGACTCAATCTGCACACAATGCAACGGACACAGTGATTAATAAACAAAATAATGATAACTAACTGTGCAGAGAGACATGCTAAAGATAGTAAAGAAAGACTAAATGCAAAAAAAGGGATAAATAAAAACAACAGGAAAAATCACCATTGCTGCTGAAGAGCTTTTGGAGCTACGTTCATGCTTCTTTTCCACTGTAGGCTTGCTTACAAGACAATGCTGAACCACATGGTACAACAGAAAAAGAGTGTGTGTGCTAAACTGATCGACTGCAGTGTAAACCTGTTATTTGGTACTTTATGAGTTTCTAACAGAAGTGAAACTACAGCATTTGGTCTCAGGTTCTCACGTGAGTACAGCGAAAAAGACGAGATGCAACATAACCTCATGACCTTGTGACACTTTACGGTCCTTTTTATCACACAATTTAACGGAAACACTGACATCAAAATTTATATGTATGAACTGATATCATATTTATAAACACAAACATCTACCTATTTAATGATGCACACGGTTCTCTGTAGGGACCAGTTCTATTTATATTCTACATGCTCCTCTTAGGCAGGCATATTATACATACTTCTATTGCTATTTAAATGATGTGCACCTTTATCTATCCATGAAGCTAAAAGACACAGCAGTTAGTTCCACAGTGCCTCTTTTACCTCCTCTTCCTCCTCCTCCCCCTCAACAGCAAAAGGCCGCCCCTCTCCCTGAGCCTGGAGATTTCTTCCTGTTAAAAGGGAGTTTTTTCTTCCCACTGTCAGCAGTGGTTGTTCATAGGGAGTCATAAGATTGTTGTGGTTTATTATCTATTACTGTAAAGTAATTTACCTTATAATATAAAGTGCCTTGATGTGGCTTGTGATTTGATGCTATATAAATAAAACTTAATTAAAACCAAACTGAATTGAAATGTCATAACTACATCCATGAAAGTAATTTATAATGTGACAAAACTGCAGTCATGTCATATATAGGTTGGTGATAAATGTCCTACTTCTAGATAACTGACATGTGGCAGATTTGATCACTGTGACAGTTCACATGAAATGTACGTGTGAATCAGTTTATACAACTGTCTGCATTTAATCAATAGTTATTATTAATCTCTGGCTCTCTTCCACAGCATGTCTTTGTTCGGTCTCATCCACTCAGCCCCTATGTGAGTTTGATTTTAGTGCAGGTTTCTTCCTGCTTGCTCATAGAGGGGTCATATGATTGCTGGACTTTCCTCTATTTTCTGTATTATTGTAGGGTCTTTACCTTACAATATAAAGTCAAATCACAACTGTTGTTGTGATTTGTCACCATTTGAATAAAACTGAATGAAATTGAAGTAAACACTCAGTCTTACAGGAACTCCTTTTAAACCCCTGCAGATGAAGCGTCTGGGAATAAGAAACAACTACAAGCATTCTAAGATAAATGGATGAGAGCAAGTTGGTACAAATACAGAGAGGCTGAGAAAAGAGGATGCATTAAAAAAGAAGCAAAACTAACACGTGTGTCGTTTCTGACCTGTGGTAAATGGTGTCGATCATTTCACACCACGCTCTGGCCCTGTCCACTGCACAGCCATCAGAGTCTGTACACTGTGCAGTGAGAGAGACGTATTTATAATGAGCAAGAAAAACATGCTTTAACAAATGTTTTTGTTATTAGAACACCAATACATGCACAAATGTCAAATGGAATAAACACAAATAACAGATTAAATAAAAATAAGTAATCAGGGCACATTACAGCAATGGCCAGAGTTAACCACTCACAGACATAAACTGAAAAATGATGCACTCACACAGTCCACCAGCATTTTGCCCAGCTCTTTTGCTCCTACAAAGGACTTGGCCAGCTCCAGTGGGTTGGAGGGTCGGAACACATCCACAGAGCTCACCACCACCTGAGGAGGTTTACCTGGAGACACACAGGAGCACGCGTACAAAATGATAAAGGGGAGGGAGACTTCAAATAGAGACACTGAACTCCAGCTAGTTATTCACAATGTGATAGGTATGCATTCCTGTGTAGCTCTGATACAACTGATATATACACCCACTGGCCACTTAATTAAGTACACCTGTTCAACTGCATGTTAACACAAATATCTAAATCAGTCAAACACATGGCAGCGATTCAGTGCATTTAGACATGATCAAGATGAACTGCTGAAAATCAAACTGAGCATCAGAATGAGGAACAAACTTTATTTGAGCGACACAGATGTTGGTGCCAGACAGGCTGCTCTGAGCATTTCAGAAGCTGTTGATCTGCTGGGATTTTCCCACAAAACCGTCTCTAAGGTTTACAAGAGAATGGTCAACTTAGTATCAACTAAGGTAATTAAGAGCATTTCTAAACATAAAACATGTCAAACGCATGGGCTAAAGCAGCAGAAGACCACACCAGGTGTCCTTCTATCAGTTAAGAACAGCAAACTGAGGCTACAAGTCATCAAAAATTGACAACAGAAGATTAGAAAAACAGTACCTGGTCTGATAAGTTTCAAATTCTGCAGCAACATTTAGAGTGTTGGGTCAAAATGTGGCATAAAAAACACAAACGTCTGCACTGCTACTGGTCGTGCAATGGTTTCAAGGACACTTTCCCGGCACTCTTGGGCCCCTTAGTGCTAAATGACATCATTTAAACACCACAGTTACCCGACTATTGTTGCTGAGCGTGTCTATATTGTATGTCTATGTGGTCCTTTATCACACCACTGTACCAATCTTTTGAAGGCTGTATCCAGCAAGATAATGTGCCATGTCTGGTTCCTTGAACATGACATCATTTATGTGCATCCAACCAATCTGCAGCAACTCTGTGATATCATGTCAATATGGACCCAAATCTCTGAGGAATCCTTTCATCACCTTGTTGAATTTGTGCCACACAGAATTAGGGCAGGTCTAAAAGCAAAACAGAGTCCAACCCAGTACTAGCGATATGTACCTAATAAAGTGGCCAGTGTGTGTGTATATATCAGTTTACTTTGCATTTAATGAATATTAAAGACACAGAAGAAGAGATATGACTCACATAATTTAACATTTTGACACACAATTACTTGGCTCACCTGTTCCAAGAGAGACCACTATACCCAGCTTCTTTAAGTCCTTCTCACGGCCCTAAGAGACACACGTGCAGAGAAGAAGTCACGAACAAATCCATGTGGCTTAACGTCCATTAAGTGCATAAAGGAAGGAAAGTGAATAGAGCTCCGGTTGCCTACCTCTGCTTTTAAGGCCTTATTGTACTGATGGACTTCTGTCATGGCATCTAGTGTCGGGTTATTGGCCAGCAGCCCTCCATCCAGAAAGCGCCCCATTGGTCGGAAGTAGGTGGGAGCAGCGCCGCTGGAGCGAGCAGCTCGCCATACAAGTTGTTCTGATATGAACACAAGGATATAAGTAAGAAAGTCATGCATAGTAAATGCAATTACACTGTTCTGAGTTCATAATTATCACTTCCTGTCTGTCTTTTTCACGACTTTCCAGGACTTGGTCCTGTACGCATACACACACCTTCATCTGTCACCTTCCTTATCTTTCTGGGTGGCTCTTCTGTGTATCCTACTATCAACACATCTTCATCCTCCCAGCCTGTAACAACAACACGGCTGGGACTCACACACAACACAGGACACGACTCCTTCATGAACAGCACACACAGTCTCAGTTTCAGTGTTGTGTTCAAACACAGGCTTAGTTTTCAGCTTTTCTTGCCTCAGTGAAGTGAAAGTAGATAACCCTCACATTAAAATATGAGCTCTGAAAATTCCTTTGGTGCCATCCAGTGGTATGTTCAGAGCACTTCATTATCCCATTTAATACATTTGACATTTGAGGGCTGGTGCTGTAGCTGACAAACACAGGTGATATCTGACGTGCCTTGTGGGATGGTGAGAGGCTTGAATGTGGCAGTGGTGGTGTATGGGGCCTCTCTGGAGACGGATGGAGGGTCATAGTTCCTGAATATATGAAGCTCGCCTGGATGTCTGTCTGCCAGAACACTGGTCACCATTACCCTGTAAAGAAAGAAAGAAGTGAAAGGATGTTTGCCTGTTCTCCTTAAACACCTGAAAATTTGAACAGCAGCATTTCAACCAAATTACAAAAATATTTTTAAAACCAATCTGGCTTCAGCTGTATTATTTTAGTGTTAAGAGAGCCATGCTACACATATCTAAGCAAGTCAGTACCTTTTCTTAATTCTCAGGAACTGAACCTCGGAAAAAAATTAGGTGACTCAATTTAACACATCAGGGTAAAACCAGCTCAAAGTTTTAAAAACTGACCAATCACAGCAAAAGAGTGGGATATTTAAAGCTTTTATATGACACTGTTCGCACCAGCAGAAACTGGGGCGACTAAATTCTTAGTCGAGTAAATAAGGAAAAATCTTTGGCTAATTGATTAGTATAAAACCTAAGAAACACTGAGGTCTGAACAATGACAGACTTAAAGGAAGATTAAGGCTGCATTAACAAATTTCTGGTGCTTAACTATAGCAATGGAAAAGCTGCAGCGCCATCTTGTGGCAGATGGCTGCATAACATTTAGAACGCAACAATTTGTCATTCTCTCTGTAAGCGTGACAGGTCGAAAAGTTATGAATGAATTATAATAAAACTTTGTAGGAGTGTAGAGTGGGTTCATGTTAATCACATTTGACCTCTGACCTCACCTTCAATGTAAAACTCAAGGTTAAAGTGATAATAATTCTATTTAGAGCTATTTATAACTGTTTATTACCGCCATTGTCAGTATTGACAACATATAGTTATATAGGGAATGGTATATGGGGATTGTAAATATCATGTTACTGTCTCTGACTTCTTCTTCGAGGTCAGATAAATTCAAACTTTCATAAAATGTCAATTTTCTTAAAATGGTGTTTAAAATTCTGCTGCCTTCGTTTATATTGGCATTACTTAGGAAATGATTCTGTTATATGGGGATTCTAAATATCACACTATAGTTACCATTTAAATATCATGTCACATTTGACCTCTGACCTCACTTTTACGTATCACATCTGCCTTTGTTTCACACGATGATGAATGAGCTGCTAGTTGGTTAGAAATAAACTGCATTATAATATTATATAATAAGCTCAAGTTATTTCAGTTATTTACAAATCAATACCTATTATCTATTGCCTGCTTGTACACAATGTTTTAATAGAAGATACATTACTCTTTGCTTAAAAGTAAATGCTGCCCAGATGACGAGCAGCTTGGGCAGAGGTCTGCAATTCTTTTGAATTTTAGCTTTTTTTTGGCATTTTTCTGCCTATTATCACATTCAGATATCTACCTGGGGAACTTTATGTCAGTCATCTTGGTGTTTTCTCCAAACTCTGTTTTTAGGAAGTCCTCTAGCGGTGCTGATTCATAGGGTCTTGATCCTTTGAACACCTGCTCCTTCATCCTAAAGTACAGGCAGCGCAGGTACTCCATGGATTTACCTACACATAGAAGAAGTGTCATTGTTGTTCTGATGCTATGTGATGAAAACCCAGCACTGGAAAAGAGAACACAAACACACCGTGGATTATAGCCAGAGCCAGGATGCCTCCCGTGCTCGTGCCAGCTACCCAGTCGAAGAGCTCTCTGGTGGGTCTGCCCGCCTCCTTCTCCAGAGCGATCAGCATCTGGATCAGCACCAGGCCTTTAATACCGCCACCATCAAGACACAGCAGACTGTCCATCCTGTCGGATGGCCAAGACCAATATGATGAATTTTATCCAGCCAATCACTTGCATATCCAACTTTTTAGATCCTCTGGAACAGAGCAGAATCCTCGAAACAGAGTTTACTGAAAAGAGTCATGTGACCAGCAAAACCAAACATCACAACACAGAGAACAGCAAAATAAAACAAAGCAAAGTAAACCTGGAGAGAAAGGCCTTAAACGCATGCAGGTCAAAGCCCACAAATGGTAAAGAAATCAAGGAGGGCAGAGGCTTTCAATGCATACTGAACAATGGCATTACTACACTGTGAAACCTATTATTGTGCAGCACAGAACAGCAGAAGTGCTTTGACCCTGGATTCTTTCTAAAAGTGAGCTGTGGGTGTATCAGTTATACACTTTACAATAATATGAATTATTAATATTACATTTGTATTAAAGTGGTTTTAGAAACACTTTCATGGTGAGTTTATGGCCACAGTCACATTGTCAGTGTGCATGTGTATCTCAATCTGAACACAATATGATTATTTTATAAATGATGGTCCCACTTAGAGTTAAATAGACAGTATAGATAAAGCAGAGTATGATTTAGGATGAAGTATGAGGAATATCACATCCACCTGTTACCGTCACATCCACTTTGAAAAAAAGACACATAGTTACTGTGGTGTAGGTAAATATGTGTCATTGTTACAGCACAGTAACTATACAGAACTATGATAACTGTAGGTAAAGTCACAACGGCCATGTCTGTCTTATATATTCAGTGTTTGCCTACAACCTTCTGTGTGTGCTTTGATTATGGGTAAGTAGTAGCAATAAAGGCGCGTGATATGTTATACTCACTTTCTCGTTTCCATTTGGGGGCCGTCTATTTCAGATATGCCTCTGCTCATTGCACCCACTGCAGCCCCCACATACAAGATGTCCTCAAATCCTAAAAGCCAATCACAACAGCTGTTGGTACAGGAGCAAAACATGACATCACATTTGTGCATAAACTAAACTAAACTAGAAAAAAACGGGGTCGGTTCGATCCCCGGGCTCTCTGTCCAGGTCGTTGTGTCCTTGGGCAAGACACTTTACCCTACCGCCTACTGGTGTTGGCCAGAGGGGCCGATGGCACGATATGGCACTCTCGCTTCTGTCAGTCTGCCCCAGGGCAGCTGTGGCTACAACCGTAGCTTGCCTCCACCAGTGTGTGAATGTGAGAGTGACTGAATAGTGGCATTGTAAAGTGCTTTGGGTGCCTTGAAAAGCGCTATATAAATCCAATCCATTATTATTTTAACTTAAATATGAAGGAACACTTGAATCCAGCTCTTACATTACGTTTACAGCGATTTAAGATTATCCTAAATTTGATCATTAAATATATAATACAGAAAGAATGATCTATAGCTAAGAAAAGTAAGGGTAAAAAATTGACTGACAACACAAACTCGAATATTTGAAGTGACAGAAAAATGGAAATGGAGAAGCATGAGGGAGGAGCAGGGGTGAGGGGGTGGTGGTGTTACCTATGCCTTGAGGCTTGACCTTCTTGGAGATGGGAGGAGGAGGAGGACTGCCGGGGGAGGGAGGGAGGCAACGCTGTACTCCTACACTACACAGCAAGTCCAGCAGTATCTTTCTATTAGGACCTTTCATGTTAACACACAAACACACACACAGAGCAGCAGCCAACAAGTTAGACGTGCACACACGCCACAAAGATGAGAGACGGAGAGAGATGAAAGGAAGAGAGAAAGCAAGAACATAAGCAAGCTGTTAGCAATTATCATGCATTTTCAAAATCAGTAAGTCAATACAAACTTAGTTTACTCCCATTTCTTCTTTGTGAATGGTTTCCTGCACTGTCTATGTATTTGAAAGCAAACATCCATTAGCTGGCTCAATTTAGCCGTAACATGCTCTGAGCTTTTCTAAGAAATCAAAGTGAAATTTTAAATCTTTGTCTTTGTCTCCAGCTTTCTGCCAAAAAAGAAAGTGATCAGAAAAATAACAGTAAACAGCTGCATATATCAACAGAAAGAAATTAGAAACTGTTTTTATTTCCTGTGGGATGACTAAGGCTACGTTCACACTGCAGGCAAAACCGCATCAAATCTGACTTTTTTGACCTTGTGCGACCCATATCCGATCATGGTATGACAGTGTGAACGGCACAAGTCCGATATTTTCAAATCCGATCTGGGTCACTTTCGTATGTGGTACTGAATCCGATACATATCCGATGTTTTAGAAAGCGACTGCTGTTTGAACGGTCATGTCGCATTAAATCCGTCTTTTACGTCACTGACACAAGACAGACAACAATTATCAGCGCCGGAGAAGACATCGCGAACACTTCCCGGCCATCCAGTGTAGATGTCAGTGAAACTGTTGGGAAGACAACGTTGGAGAAACGTGAACATTTTATTTGTACTGTATAATCTGCAGATTGTCTGCAACTAGCCTTTGAAGCACCGCTCCTCTCTAAAACAGCAATAAGGATAATTATTAGGCCATATGTAAATAAAAAAATAACTTTATAACTTAAAGCAAAATTGGAAAACGTAAAGTCCGAAACAAGTCTTTATATTAAAGGCCATCAGTCAAACAATACTGTTTGGTCTAAACAGAGCGCGTTGTGTGTGACGTCTTCTTTTGCGCATGCGGGCCGCAAAAGAAACTAGAGCGCGTTTGCTGTCGCATTTTATTTGTAGTGTGAACAAGCAGACAAAAAAATCGGATTTGATCAAAAAATCGGAATTGAGCATTAAGACCTGCAGTGTGAACGTAGCCTAAGAGTTAGTGAGTTTATTTGTATGCTCTTTTCCATTTTCTGCTTCTGTGGACCAAAATCTAACCTAATCTAATCGGATATTTCACTAAAAGGCAGTAAGGCCAAGATGCTGCAATACTGCATACTGCAAAAAAAAAAGCATGATCACAAAGTTTAACTGACTATAAGCAATAACTAATATTTTTTCATTGCTTCATAGTGATAAAGCAATATATCTGTAACAGGAAGTGTTATCATATCATATAATATTAATACATAATGGGATAAAGTGGCAGATTATAAAACCCTTAATTACGGCTCCAACACAACATGCAGACTAATATCATCCACAGTGGACACATGCTTTCAAATCAGACTACATGAGATCAAACAGGGTTGTTAGGTCAGGCACATTAACTCCTAATTTCACTGTTAACACCACCAGTCCAAGCTCAGACTTCTATGTTCTTTATATGTTTAAATGTTTCGCTTTAACCCCCCATCTCACTCTCTCTCTCTCATTACCTTTGCTGGTGCGTGCAGCGATGAGTCCAGGTGTCTCGCCCAAATCATTGTGAATCTCCACATCTGCACCAAACACTATTAGAGCTTTGATCAACTCTATGTGGTCCATCTGAGCAGTCACAACAAATGAGAAGAGGTTTTTTTTAAGGATATGGAACAAAGGATAAAACAAAAAAATACAACCTCAATTCCAAACAAATTGGGATGCTGGGTAAGAAGTAAATAAAAACAGAATTTCTGAGTTTCTCAGAGGTGAAGATGGCCAGAAGTTCCCTAATATGGAAAAAATGTGTTTATAGAGGAAATCACTGATTGGGCTCAAGAAGACTTCCAGAAGTTTTTGTTGAAACTATTACATCTGGAAAGGTTCCACGAATGCTGGAAGGTGCTAGCAGGTTTTAGAGCAACATACGCTTCCCTTCAACAAGGCAATACTAAACCACATACTGCAATTATTACAACAGCATGACTTTGTAGGAGAAGAGTCCGCTGAGCTGGCCTGCCTGCAGTCTGCAGGACTGTTGAGCAGCTAGAATCCTAAATCAGACAACAGTTAGACGTCCAGCAACTGGTCTCCTGAGTTTTACGTACTGCTGTCAAAACAAGAGGGGCTGCTACTCAGTGATGTCGCAACAGTTTTTAAGATGTGTTGCTGCCATTAAATTCAAAATAAGCAAATGTTTTTCTTAAGCTGGCACATTTTCACAGTTTAAACATTTAAAACATAAATTGTCTCACTGTTCTATTTTGAGTAAAATATGATTATCAGATTTGCGAATCATTACATTTTGTAGTTAGTTACATTTCACACAGCATTGAAGGTTTTTTGCAGTTGTATTTGAACAATCAGTACTTGTTGCAATAGCTTAGCTGGGTTTGTACCCCCATTGTGAAAAACCTCAGTTATGCAGCTCACATTAAAATAATACATATTTTTTAAAATGGAAACACTGTGGCAATTCAGACAGCATTTCTCTAACCATACATTTATGCAGTGCTTTATGCTATACGCACTATTAACCTCACATGGCCAATTTACAATCACCAACTAAGCTACAATGCACATCTTTGGTCTGTGGGAGGAAAGCACAGGGAGAATATGTAAGCTCCAGATACAAAGCACCAGCCTGCCAGGACATTTGAACCAGGAATCGTCTTGCTGTGAGGCGGCAGTGCTAACCATGTGCCCACAAACAAACATTTGATGTTGAATAAGAACTCATCAAAACAGACTGGAAAGAGATTTTGCAGTGTGAACACGCTGGCTGTAACACAGAGCATGACCTCAGTTTTCTTTATGAGTATTGCAATCTGATTTCAAAGGTGCTGCGTTCTACAACTCCCGTAATCTCACAATGTCTTGCAAAGTAACCTTTCTCTTTTCTCCTCATGAACATTTTGCAGATCGTATACACACCTTCATGGCTAAGTGCAGAGCTGTGTTTCCATCCTGGCCTCTCAGGTTGGCATTCGCTCCGTGGGTGAGCAACACCATAGCCGCCTCAAAGCGACCCTTCTTGGTCAAAATGTGCAGAGCGCTCTCTCCGGTCTTACTGAGGTAGTTCACTTCACAGCCACACTCTAACAGCATGCGACACATCTATCACCCAGACATGAAGACAGAAAGAAACATGAAGTCAAGTCTCTAGCTCCGTGTTAATCCCTCGCAGATATGCTGATTTGAGAGACCAGAGGACGCACAGCCATCACTGGCAGGCGGCTAGATTTACTCAGGATTAAACTGTTTGCAAGAGTAATGCCAAAACTAAACAAACCATTATGAATTTTTACACAGCACACGACGTAGTGTTTCTAACCTCAGCAGTTTTAGCCCAGTGGAGAGGCGTCCCTCCATACAAAGAGTCCTCTGCCTGGAGCTGGTTTGGATCTGCTTTGAGGATCTCCTCCACACAACTAACAGATGAACACGAAATTAAAACAAGAATATTAAATATGTACTACATTCTTTATTATAGTGTAGAGAAGTCACACATTACAGACAGACAGACAGACAACTTCTAGAGAACCGGTAAAAAAGGAGAACCAGAGAAGCTGTTCCCATTTTCAGTGTTCTTTAGTATCGTGCAGTAAAACACAGACGCACAATCGGCCAATTCTGCTCATCTATAGACACAAAAATAACTCATTGTTCCTCCCACTCACCCCTTCTCGCTGTATTTCATGGCGCTGTGGATGGGGTAACCTGTACCGCCAATGATGTCACACTTGGCCCCACCTCCTAACAGGGCCTTGACAGCCTCCACTCGGCCTGTACGGCAGGCCACATGGAGCGGCGTCTCTCCGTTCTTGTTGAGTTCGTCCACACCAGAGCATAACCGCGAGCAAAGGACCTGGATGATGAGAGAAAGGTGAGAACGAAAACAGCAGGAAAAGTGGAGAGAGGGAGAAATCATTTTAATGTGCACTTTAGAGGGTCTGAGGTCTGACTCTACCATCTTGCTTTAGCTGAGGCTCACCTGGATGATTACCGTAGAATCCTGCTTGGCAGCGTAGTGGATCGGTGTCTCTCCGTTTTGGTCTTTGATGTCAGTGCGAGCTTGGCTTTCTTCCAAAAGCTCCTTCACACATGTGGCGTCAGCTCGCCCACATGCCAGATGCAGCGGCGTCTGGCCTGATGCGTCCCGAGCATTGATCTGACTGGAGATGCAAAGATTTTGAGCTGATGTTGTGGGAGCTCTGCACCATGAAGCACCGCAGAGGCTTTCTGTGTGCTTTAGTCAACAAACTTTCCTAAGCTTCTTTTTATTTCCTAAATTCTTCAGCTATATGTTTTCAAGTCATATCAGTAAAGCATGAGAGCTGGGGAGAGGGGGGGTTGTTGTTTTGTTTTTTAAGCAGACTTGTGTTATTATTGCTTTGGTCAAGGAAGGACTGCCTTTTCCTGTTTTTCCTCAGCAACTCATTTCACTTCGGATTTCCTTATTATGTTATTCTCGTATCCAGACCGTGTCCGTCCATTCTCTCTGCCGCTTATCCTTTTCAGGGTCGCGGGGGCGCTGGAGCCTATCCCAGCTGTCTTAGGGCAAGAGGCAGGGTACGCCCTGGACAGGTCGCCAGTCTGTCACAGGGCTAACACAGGCACACTGACAACCATTCGCACTCACATTCACACCTACTCTCCAGATCGTGTCTTTTAAGTTAAACTTCCCAGCAACGCTACTTGTAGAGGATGGTTTTCAGGCTGAATCAGAGACTTTTTTTGTGAAACTGTTAGAACTAAATATCCACTAATAGACTAACTGAATCAAGTAGCTTTCAATTTTACCTCAAAATTACTCAAAAGTCACATTTTTTATTAATAAGACAGAAACTTTTGCCAATAAGGGAGCAATTTAAAAAATGCACAAGAAAATGAGTGAAAAAATAAATGACTTGTATCTAATGAGCTATAAGCTTCGATAATACCATAAGTGCTTTGAGGCAACATTTCTATAAACCAATTAAATAATCAATACCATCTGTTGCACTGGATTCATTTAGCTGGCACAGACTTCCTGACTAATGAGTTACATCTCTCTTCATTCGGCATTATTCATCCACCCATCAATCAATACCATAAACACGAAGATGCAACTGTGAGACGTACTGCTGTCTGATATTTCACTCACTAAAAGGCCAATAAATACAAAATAATCACAGAAACCCAAAAAAGAATATCAATTTGGCTTATCTTACCTCTGCACATAGTTATGTTTGAGACACTCTCTCAGGCCTGTTTCAACAGCAATGTGGGCAGAGCTCCAGTCTGGGTGAGCACGGATGCAGTCCACGATTGGCTGTGTCGACTCACACTTCAGAAGAAGCGTTTCATAGAAAGGTCGAAGTTTGAGGGCGTACTGTGGGAACCAGTTCATGGCATCTTCCTCTGACACCACCTGAAACAGCCTGCAGGCAATGCAATGATTACAAGAAGAGGAAATGTGGATAGATTACCAAAAGTTCTGCTAATGTGGTACCAATGAACTAGTAGATAAAGAATAAATAATAATATTTCTCCTCTGCTAAGAAAAACAATTCAAAAAAGCTTCAAGCATTAGTGTTTAAGACGTTTATTCCTTTTATTTCTTTGCTGCTTTAGCTTCCAAAAGTTCCTTTTAATGTTTTTTTACATACTATACATAAATAATATTTTACTTTTGCTTTCAACATATCCACAATCAATCCTTTGCTTGTGTCTCAAACCATCTCAAACCTCACCTCTAGTTTCTCTCCAAACCACTCAACCTTAGCTGTCTCTCTGATACACTCATCTCTAATCCTGTCCCTCCTGGTTACTCCCAACAAGGATCTGGTTTGCACTAGTAAACTAATAATATTTGACATGTCTGGTATCAGCTGAGGCCAATGCTAAGACCTTCTTTCTATCTTTCTTCAAACCTGCCTTTCAGATCTGTAGCCAAGCAGCAACATCCCGAGCTGAAAAGTTATGCCAGCGCAGATCTGCCAAACTCTGCAGCTCCCGGAGTGGCAATATGAGGCCAACTCCAAAAGCAGGTCAACTCCCTTATAAGCTCATGGACAACTTTAACAGCAGAAAGAAATAAACATGTTTACAGCTGGGTACATCAAATGCTTTGGTTTCTATGACTAATCCTTTTCACGACAACTGTTCAAGTTAAAGTGAAGACTTGTTAAGGGTTAAAGTTAGGGGTAAGGCTACCCTGATTGTCAATTGTGACAACACAGGAGATCTCCTGACCTCTGCTCATAGGAATAACAAACCTGGACCTCTCAGCTTGTTTGTGTTCTTTGATACTTTAGGGGCATTTGTAATGGAATTACCTGACAGGACCTATATGCTTTTTGTAGTGGTAACAGATTGTCCAGATAATCCCGACTGATACTCTCTGCTTTCATTTTTATGACTGAAGTTGTAACATTTTACTTGAAATGTTACTTAGCACTAAATAGCAAATATACATGTACTTTACAGATGCAACTTCCCAAGCAAGATTGCTAGTACTAGTTTATAATTTAGTACTCCCTCCTTGTGTCTACATAAGGTCAACTCTGGTGCACAAAAACCAACAACATGCCTCCCAAAATGCTAACAGTGAAGGCTGAAAACAGGGTTTTGCAAAAAAAATGGATGATGTCATAGTTACTAGCATATCACATGATTGCTACAAAGCTTTATAGCTGATAAAATAAAAGGCATAGCCTTAGCTGCCTGTTTGAGTAATGGTGATGTAGGCTAAACCAGTAAACCAGTAAGATGACACAGGATGAAATGAGCAACTATGCTAATAAAAGCAACTAAAGGTGCAAAAGAAATGTTTTTGCAGCTGACACTGAACTTTCACACCCATGTCAGAGTCACACAGAACACACAGAACAGTGTATCTACGTGATCAACACAGACCTCAAAGCCACATTCGGTGTCTCTGGGCAGAGAAGGAGACAGTCCCATGACTGACTGTACTTGTACAGAACTATGCGACCCTCCTCTTTTAATTTCACTTTCCCTCCTCCTCCATAGTCAGACAGCGGCACTTCTCGGACCCGGTAAGGGTTGGTGAAGAGGGTTGACACAGAGGAGACTGTGTCCAGCAGCCGCCCTAGGAACTGCATCGTTACCTGGGAAGACAAAGGGGGAGGCTGAAACAAACTACAGCAGCCTGTAGTATTGCTGTCAACATTAATGAATGATTTATTCCACCCCAGGAGCGCATGTTACCACTGAACAGGAGCGACATGTGCAATATCTAAGAGATACATACATATAATACTTATAGTTTCTATTTTGTGGAAATACAAGTGAAGTAGCTTGCGGGTATAAATAAGCGCTATATTACAGTTATTATTAGGAACTGAGTGAAGGTTAGCCCACTCACCACTTCCTCTGACACTCCAACACCTGCTTTGTTGATATGAACACTGAGTATAAAAGAGGCTAGTTCTCGTTTGAATTATAAATAAGTGGCTCCATTTATGCTGCTCATTCACGAGTTTCAGCTTATCTACAATCAGCCAGACAAACTACCAAGGCTAAAAAGCCGCAGACGGCGAACACTGAGCGAAACACCCTAATCGTTCATGGGTTTTTTTAATCGCAAACTCATTTAGAGCACACAGAGTACAGTTAGTGGGCTACTTGTGAAGTGCGGCTAATCGCATTAAGCAGTAAAGACGCAGCCTGCTGCTGTCTGCTTACCTGCTAGCTGCTCTCTGTGCCGACTACCTGACTTCTGACACATACATCAACAACCGCCGCCCTGCAACCAACCCTGCAAAAGAATTTGATCGACGTGTGTTTAACCAATCACAGCTTAAGAACGTGAAGGAGCTTGGCAGAAAAGGCGGGGCAAAAATAAAGTCACACCAACAACGACACGACTTTTGACCGACCAATCAACGACATGTGAGGATTTCAACAGTATTATATAATTGACTTCAGGCACGTGAAGTAATTGTTTGCTTTAGAAATAAAAAAGCTAATTGTTTAAATTTAAATTGTGTTTCCACACAACTCTGGTCTGTCGAATTAATTCGATTAAAATACATTTCTTCCTATTTTTTTCCCCTTTTTCAATTTTTACCAGTCTTTATCCCTAAGTCCTTCTTTACAACCCTTGATTCTAGAATTTCCTCCTACGTTTGGAGGGTAAAAGACCTCAAGTAGCTAATATGCATTTACAGAAACCTAAGACTGAAGGGAGCCTGGCACTCCCTAGCTTCCGCGTTTGCTATTGGGCTGCCAATATTTGCTCCATGGCCTACTGGTTAAAATCTGGGAAGGTTGTGGGCCACACCACTTGGCTAGCAATGGAGTTTGACTCAACTCAGGGTATGTCTCTTGCCTCCTTTCTGGGTTCTTCTCTACCTTTGTCAATTGACAACTTCACATTCAGCACTTCCTCCGGGTGTGGGCTCAGTTCAGGATGCAGTTCAATCTCAAGAATTTCTCACTTCAAAATCCTATCTTATTAAATCACCTATTATTCCCTTAAGCTTTGGACAACTTGTTTTGGGTCTGGTTTAGAGCAGGTATTATTTACTTTAAAGATATCTTTATACACAACTAGACTAGCATTATTTGATCAGCTGTCAGCAAAATACACTCTTCCCAAAACTCAATTTTTTAGATATTTACAACTCAACATTTTTTGCAATCCAACCTCTCCAGTTTTCCAGAAGCTCCAGCTACTAAGTTACTGGACAAGCTCCTTAGTTTGCAACTATCAGGCAAAGGTATAATCTCCCGCATCTATAGCAAACTGTGCAGGATAACTTCAGCTCCCTTTGAAGGCCTTAAATCCACATGGGGGAAGGAGTTGGGTATATCTATGTCAGATGACGTTTGGGATTCAGTCCTCACTCTGGTAAATTCTATGTCACTCTGCACCCGCCACTCCCAATTCAACTCACACAACTCACAATTCAAAGTAGTTCATAGGGCCCACTTGTCTAAATACAAATCAGCTAAGATTTATCCTGGCTCTATCCCTCGCTGTAACAGCTGCGGGTCTGATGATGCCAATCTAACCCACATGCTTTGCTTTGGACCTGCCCTGACTTGGTAAATTTTTGGGAGGCGGTTTTCTACACTCTGAACAAGGCTACTGACCTGAAACTGGCTCTCAACCCCCTACTTGCTCTCTTTGGTACAGTGGGTGAGGATGATAAGTATATCACTGGGGCAAAACGTTGGGTGCTGTCCTTTGACTAACAGAATTGCTCATCCCACAGAGGTCTGATGACCTACCACTCTATAGGTTTTACTGTGTTAATGTAAATGTTAAGCTCAGCTAATTTCTGTGTGGTTTGCAAAGATAGGTTTTCTTGGAATCAATCGCTCCTCCGTTTTTCCGTTTTGTTCCAACGTGAGAAGTTCTGTTTTGTATTCAGTGTAACCAGTTTTTATGTTTCCCTTGGTTTTTTTTTTTCTTTTTTGTTAACTGTATCCACAATTGCTCAATAAAAATATTTTGAGTAAAAAATTTTGTTTCCATTTTGTTCTTTTTTCTCAACAAGGCTCCCTTAAAGGCAAGACGACAGACTGATGTAAAGGAAAGTTTAGCTTGAACATAAGCTACCAAATAACAGTCATGTGGTATAAAACTGTTATTATTATTATCATTATTAAGCAGTTTTAGTTGTCAGCAAGTCCTTGGTTCAAACGCTATTGTAAAACATACCCCACAAGAAGCTTAAGAGTACCATGACTGTGTCATAAAATGTGAACCTCTCTTTGGCTTTCAGTAAGCTTCAAAACAGCATGTTTATCACACCAGTGACCTGTTCTTATTGTTTGTTTTTCCTTCCAGAAAAACCTGACATTCACACCAGCCTCCAGCATATATCGCCTTTGTTTTTGAATCCTCGTGACATTTTGGCTTTTGCCATCTTTGTTTTGTTTTGTTTTTTTCTATGAGAGATATGATCATGTTTGAAGAAGAGTTTAGAGTTTTCGATACTTACACTTAAACCGTGCTTATAACAGGGTGTACTTATCAGACGAGTTAAAGTGAAAGCCCTGAGTCTTTCAGTACAATAACAAGCTGAATGAATTGTGACAAAGTCAGCTTTGTCCCTCCCTTAACAACACTCCTTCAATTACACAATACTTAAAGCCTGAACACAAACCAGTCACATATACATTGCACACAAAAAAAATTAAAAAAAGTTAAGGGAGCATGTGATTATCACATTATAACAGCAACTCAGTTAAGTTTCGGGGATATCAGTCAATCCTCTCAGGAATAACAAGCCATTGAGAGGCAACAACAAGGCATAGATCATTGCCCTGCCCTTATCTTTCCTGACTGATCTTTCTCTACTTTTGTTTTTTGTTAGTGTCCTTGTTACTGCTGGTAGAACAACGGCACATTCAGGTTGCACAGGTAGCGCAGCTCCCATTTTAGGATGGCCTATCTATACGTGCCACTACAAGAAGGTTTGCTGGGTCTCCATAGTCTTAATAGTGTAGATGAGATCCCATTAGGCATGAGGAGAGCTGGATCAACCCACCAACGACACGGGTGTCTGCTCCTTTGCGCAAGGAGGAACAGGAAGAGTACTGCAAGAGTCTCCAGTGGGACACTCATGCATGTTTCCAAACTGTCAGATTTAGATTCCTTGAGGGTCTCACAAGGTCACAACATCCTTTAGTTTTGACCTTCCGGTTCTATATAAGCGGAGTTCAACAGATGGGTTGAGTCTCCTTATATTGTGCTCATTTACAAAGACTCATTCAGACTGATGGCAATATGTTGGCAATTTGTTTGCATTTATAACTTTGACAACAATCATTTGCAAGACTTCAGCAATCCCTCTTAGAGTGATTACAGTCAATCCAAGTCAGACTGCACTGTTTGCAGAGAGGTCGCCACCTATCAGGTGACCTGTGCAATCCTCTTGTGATCCAAAGTGGCCGTGAAAGTGTAAACTTGTCAAGCTATGGGCAACCAGGTAATCACCACAAGTTGCAATCAGTGCAGAATAGAAAATACAAAATAATACAATACAATCACCAATCATACAGTCTTTTTTTTTTTGTGTAGATTCAAGAATGTTGCTGTGCTGTTTTTACTTATGTGACTGAGCCATTAGTTTGCACTGAATTGGGATGAAGCTTTATCAAGCTAAGTGTGTCCAGTGTTGGATGAGTTTTCGGTTAAGCCCGTTTAATGTGAGTTTGCTCAGCTAATGCTGGATGGATCATGTTGGATGATATGAGCACTCTTGTTCCTAGCATCCAGCAACTTTTTAAGTGATTTAATAAAATATCAGTATGTTTTGAGCCTGTATCAAAACAATCTTGCCATGCAAAATATTGCCATATTATGCTGTATCGATTCCCCCCCTACTACTACTAATTGTTTCATAAATAGCTTCTTGCCTTAAACCAGAGGGAATTTTTAACTTGGAGGACTAATGTTTTGCATTCAAACCAAATGCCGAACGTTTATTTTATGTTTATGATTAAAATAATTAAATAAATAAATACATGTTTAACAAAGTAATGTAAATAAAATTTGTCAATTTCATGGCATAGAAGGGAATTTTCGTGGCTTAGTGGGACGCTTGAAAAGAGCCATTGATTAAATTGTCCACTGGTTCAAATGTGTGACTGAATACTTGAATAAGGCAAATATTATTAAACCAGTTAACATTATGAAATGTAAATATAAATACAATGTAAAATTCCGATGACCTTCGGTGTTAAAACATTTGTATGAAGTCTAATTAGGTCTGTAATAATTTAATTAACGTTAATAACCTTTTCGTGTCTTTTGACGCTGATGTTTAAAGCTCAGAGCCGCGCGGGCTTTTTTTCTCCTCGGGTTGCCGGCGACCAGATAGGTCGCACCGCTGCTGCTGTGCTGTGCTGTCTCCGTGTGTGTGCAGCCCTTCGCACGGTTTGGTCGATCCGTGCAGACAGCGGAGCTTGTCGTCTGGAGAGACGGACACCGAGACAGGTAGCTCAGTTCGGGTATGAAACATGGAGCTCTCGGCGGGAGATCGCATTTTCGCCGCGGAAGCCATACTTAAACGCCGCGTCCGTAAGGTGAGCTACAGCCGCCACTGTCCCGCGTGTTTTGACTACGTGCAGATGTTCCCCGTCGGCAGCGCGGCACTGCTTTAGTCCATAGGCTCAGGGCTGTCATCTTACGCCTATGAAATACTGCAGAGGCCTTCATGCGTTTGCTTTTACTTTGCTAGTCCGAGCTAGATCAGAGCAGCGAGGCTTATGACTCGTGGCGCGGACATTGAGGCAGCGACAGGGCAATAAAAACAACACAAAGAACGGGGTGGCTGCAAAGACACGCTAGCCCCGCTGATGGTATTGTGGACTGTGCTGTGAAACTGAGAGGCCTGGTTTGCTTGCCAGCTAATGGTAGCTAAAGCTATACGGTCACAGTCAGCGGTTCATAGCCCAGTTTATGTGTAGCTGCCACATTAACGACAGCTTGACTTTGTTACTTTCTCGTGCGAGTTATGAAGGTGGTTGCAGAAGCACAAGTTCTCATACGCCGGTGATGGGAAAGGAGTCTTCAACCATAGCTGATTAAGGACTTTTGAGAGTTTCCAATGTGTTTTCAGTATTTTGCATGTAAGAGACTCTGTCCATTATGGCATGTTGCCTTCTGAAGTTGCCGGTATACACAGTTAACCAGCAAGGCCCACCGTGCCTCCAATGGCTTCAGAAGTCCCTGCTTGGAGTTTTTAGCGTATCCTTCTTGCTGTAAAACACTTGCAACACACGAACAAACGTAGATTTCACATAAACGATACCCAAACGTGAAATGTATTTGATCTTATTATAAAACATAGGAAGATTTAACCCTAGCGAAGACGTGAAAGAAATGAAGTCCTCTTCTGTAACTTGGACTGAAATGTGCTAAAGTGCATTCAGTTGCATTGCAGATTTGGTGTTGCTGTGCATTAACAGCATGTGGAGTTTTGTTCCCATGTTGGTGTAAAGGCAAGAATATCCTATTTGTAATTAAAATACTCAAAACCTGTGTTTGAATGTTGTTGTTTTTTTCTTTTAAAAAAAATCTATTCTCATATGAACTGTTTTAGTAATTCTAACATTTGTCTTCTTCTTTCAGGGAAGGCTCGAATACCTGGTGAAATGGAAAGGATGGGCAATGAAGTGAGTGCCTTGAATCCACAATGTTAATGTGACACAAGCATTGGTTCGATTCAGCTGAAAAATGCACATTAACTGTGCTTTGGAGCAAAATGAATGCATGCGTTTTTCTTCATTTGTGTTCAGGCACAGTACTTGGGAGCCGGAGGAGAACATCCTGGATGACAGGCTGATTTTGGGGTTTGAGCAAAAGTGAGTGTAGCTGCTTCATGAGGAGCCCTGCGTGTGCTTTGAGTAATCAGTCTTGATTTTTATTTATGTATTTATTTTTTCTCTATTGCTTGTTTTTATATTTTGGCTCCTATCTTGAAAAGTCTAAAGCATGTCTGCTCAGTCCCCCGGGCCCATTTACCTTTTTATCATGTGTTCTTGTTTTAAATTACTTCCAGTGTCTCTTCCTCTAAGTGCTTGTGTTTACTCATACTTTCATCCCCCCGCATCCCCCTTTCGTGTCTTTACATTCCTCCTCTTTGCTGCCTAATTGAAAAAAAAAATCTGCACCGAACTTCTTTTTGTCTGTTGCCAAGCTCTTTGAAATGCTCGTGCTGCTCATGGAAATATTTAGAGTAAAGTTCAAGTATCAGAAAACTTTTAATGGGAGGCAGGGGATACAACAAATGACTGAAACGGTGTTTTCGCTACATGTCATTCCTCTCTTCGCTGGCTCTTACATTTCCTGTCCTTCTTCAACATTATCCCTGATGAAAATAAGAGCAAAGAATAAGATTTTTTTTTTTTTTTTTAAAGGAAACCTAACGTTCTTTTTCCTCACCACATCATTCTGTCATCACCTTTGAGTCATTCTATTTGCTCTCGTTCTCTTGTTCTTTTTGTTGCGTGTGTCTTTTCATTTGTGGTCATTGCCATTCTAACTGTCACTACTTTTTTTTTCTTTTTTAGAGAGCGGGAAAGAGAGTTGCACGGGCCAAAGAAAAGGGGACCAAAACCCAAGAACCTTGTAATGAAGGTACAGTTTTTTTTTTTTTTGCTCCTCCACAGGGAGGAGCTGCTGCATCTGAAATCATATTTAAAATTTTGACGAGTGGACTGGAAACTATGACTAGTTTGCATGAGTTAAATTTGCAGCTTTGTTGAAATCTGTACCTTTGTTCAGTTTGCATCACCACCCTGCAGGAAAGTGGAACATTCTGTTTGTGGTTTCTGCTGTTAAAGCTGAGAAAAAGGTCAACCTACTTGAACCTCAAACGGTGTCTGAAGTTTATTTAAATCTTCATACAGTGCATGCTTTGTCTTTGGAAAATGACATGAAAAGAAGCGTGAGCGGCAGGGACACGTTTGTCCTGTGCTACATTTCACCTGAGGCACATACTGCAGCAACCTTTGGTCATAGAAAAACGCTTTCAGAAAGCCGTGTGAAGGGGGAGGGTCATTTATATCAACAACAATAAATGGAGTTACAAAGGAGACACGTCTGACTGAAGTTACATTCAGCACGGCTAAACGCTGTGGTGTTGGGTGCATTAACTTCTCTTTGTAACTGCTGATTTTGTTAATTTTAATTCTTTTGATCTCAAATTAACTTTAGTCTAATATAAGCTAAATCAGCTGGAAAGTGTGCACTTTTGAGGCATTAGTTACAACGCTGTCATCCAAGAAGCATTGGATATAAATCATTGTGACTCTAGTGTTGCCAAAAACAACTAACTTAAGTGAGTGCCCATGGTTACATAGTCTCAGCTCCACCCTCCAGAATTGTAGCTAGAATGAGCTGGAGGAGATCTGGTTCACACACTGCTGAAGAGCAGAGCAAGAGCTACCAGGGTTAGCTGCAGTCCGAGGTGCTGGAGTTGAGCCAGATGTTTTAGCCAAATGTTTAAAAGTGGCTGCTGTTGCTGTGTATCACTCAGTAAACGTGTTTAGAGGTTCAAAAAGCTCACTCTACAAAAATGGTTTCTTAAATGTGCTTTGTCTCGCAGGCTCGCGGTCAGAAAGGAGAGAGCGGCAGCCGAGCCTCAAACACCCGCCAGACCACTTTGCGTCCTACTTCGTCCACTTCTAACCGGGCAGCTTCCTCCTCCTCCTCTGCCTCAGCGCATCTTTTACCGTCGTCCTCCAGCTCGGCTGTCGCACCTTCCCCTAAACTTAACTCCCTTGCGGCCACACACAAACTGAAGAAAGACATTCACCGCTGCCACCGGATGTCCCGGCGCCCTCTGCCTCGCACAGACCCCATGGCGACCACCTTCTCCAACCCTGGTGGCTTCCCGTCCCGCATGCACGTTTCTCCCTTCTCTGAAACCGTCCGCATCCTTAACCGTAGGGTGAAACCCCGGGAAGTCAAGAGAGGCCGAATCATCCTCAATCTGAAGGTCATCGACAAAGCGGGCCGGGGTGGCACAGCGGCCGGGGGTCGGAATATTTCGGCAGGACGTCAGAACATCCCATCCCGCAATCGTATCATTGGGAAGAAGAGGGAAGCCCCATATAGACCTTTCCAGCCTCCTCTGAAGATGCTGGGGTTCCCGATGTACGGGAAGCCATTCGGGCTGCAGTGCGGAGGACCTGTGCCTTTTCACTCCCACCCAAGCTCATGCTCCAGCACAGGAGCTAGGGAAAGCCGCACCAGCCCCTCTCAGTTCCAGGCACCTCCTTCTCCTTCCAGCTCCAGTGGGTCTGAAGGAAAATCTCCCACCAATGCTACTGCTGCCCAGTCTCAGCCTTCCACTGGGGCCTCGCCGTCTAGCAAGGATCCCAAGTCCAGCAAACCTCACGCAGACACTCAGAAGAGCCAGAGCACCAAGTCCTCCACCCCTGCCGCGTCCTCAGATGCAAACCAGGCTGCATCATCATCATCCCCCTTCCTCCCCTCCTCTCCCTCTTCCTCCCTGGAAGACGAAGAGGACGAGGGCGCCCCGGACCGTACGGTGCCCTCAGAGGAAGGCAGGAAAAATCCTCGCCAGTGCAGGGCTAAACACCAGTTGCCCACCGCGCTCCCCCCTGCCACTCCCGGGGACCAAACCTCTGCCCCCACCGAACCTCCAAGGGTGCCCGCTGAGGGAGACCCCGACTGGCACCCTGAAATGGCTCCGAGCTGCAAGGATGTAGTGGTCACAGATGTGACCACCAACCTCGTCACCGTCACCATAAAAGAGTTCCCATCCCCTGCCTCCTGCCCCGCTTCACCTTCTGCTAGCCCCGAAAATGCCTCTTCCCCCCCTCCCACCGCCGCCTCCGACGACCCCTCCCCAGCAAAGCCATAGGAGGACGGACATTATGAAGTCAAATGCCATTGAAGAAAGGAAAAAAAAAAAAGTGTCATGCCACTTCAACTCGCTTCTACCTTTACCTTGAAGGGTATGTCCATATTTGTGTAATGAGTAATGAAATATAACCCAACACCGCCCTGTCATTGAATAGTTTAAAAAAATTGACATATTTTTTTTAGAAGAATTATATAAATTTGAGATGGGGCAGCTAATACGCCCTTCTTGGCATTTCATTTGCCATATTTTGTCCACTTGCACAAGACTGACTGTTTGGCTTGGATGGAAATGGTGGTAATTCTTTCACTTGCTTCATGCTGAGTTTATCTTGTTTGGTACAATGTAACATTGTCCTGAAAGTGGAACCGTCGCCCGTTTAGTGTGCAGGTTGAACTTTTAGAAGGCATACTCGGCCTGTGTGGAAGAAACTTAATATTTAGATGCAAGCTCTGCTCTGGAGGCTGTTGTCAGCAGCCTGCAGGTGTTTTGACCTGTTAGTCTCGTTGGAAGTTCAACTCAGTGAACTTAACACAGCTGGATTTGGATATTGCATCAATGCAATAGCGAGGTAAATGCACTTGACTGCATCATTTAAAAACCAACCTATTCTGTGTGGTTTATCAGTTTTTCCAAAGCCTTCTCCTCTTGCTCTCTTGAATGCACATGCATATACATATAAGTATTTATATGCACACACAACCATAAAGGCTGATAAAGAATATGAAATTCAGTAATTTTTTTTTAAGTTATTGCTGCCATTTGCAGTCTCTTACATATTTGCCTTGTTTTTCACTCTGTTCCCGCCACCTACTTCGACTCCATAACGTCCACCAAGACCCTAAACTGGTCTGCAGTGAATTTGAACAGTTTCTCTGTATGCCGTAATCACTAAAATTAACTTCTTAAACTGTCCAGGTCTAGAAGGTCCATGAGCTGAACACAGTTCAGACTGAACGTCGACAAAATGCAGCTAAAAATAGAAGTTGACTCGGCGACAGGTGTTTCAAATCTGTGGAACATGAATCCAGGCAGCTGTGGCTTGTACAATGTAGCGACTGTTAAGTTTTGTCTATTTATCTTCCACTTTTGACTGGTTAAAAGCTGTTTCCCATGCTTTTCGTCCTGTGGATGTTGCCAGTTTGTCCTTTTATGCTTCGTAACTGTTCTTTATTAGTATGTGCTCTGGTAGTAACGTCAATAGAAGTGCTTTATTCTTGCTACCCATAGGGCATGCGTGTGTCTTTCCACTGATGCAGAGCCGGTGCGAAGCCACTTCCAACTTGGGTGCCTTACGACGAAAAGCCTACATTTCCGCAGATTCATAACTGAACATTACATGGGGTTATGTAGCAAAGGCTGGGGTGATTTACACGGGATGGAGAATCTGTGTTTGGTGAATTTCTTGAGAGACAACGGTGGTTACAACTTTTGGCGCAGTCAGTTTTGTGAAGCTGCTGAATGTCGGCTGTTTGGAACCAGCATTGATATTTTCTTGTAGTGGAAATGCATGAAACTGGTTCTACAGGGGGCACCTGCACTACTGTAGTGGAAAAGGGTTCATCTAGTCCTATAGCCATCAGACTCTAGTCATCATGATGAGAAGTAAGACAACTTTGCCTCTTGCTCCTGTTGTACCAAGATTTGTTTTGCTATAACTGAGGCCCAACATGTCTTTTAAGTCCTGGCTTTAGACTTAGTTGAGCTTATTGTCAGCTTAATGTAAACAGTGCTCCTGGACACATGTAGAGGAACAGTGAGGACCAAGGATACCTCGATGTTCCAGTCTAAACAGGACACTGCGTTTTTACTTCCTAAATGAAGCGCCGTTTTGCCTGTTTCCTGTCTTGTTGCTTTTACCCGTTTATGAAGGATAAAACCTTTGGACCGCTGTTTAATAACTGGAGAGGATGCTGGCACAGTTGTCTTCCCCTTTTCAGACACATCAGACAGGCTGTCTTTCAGTAGGATCACAGTACAGCTGGTGTGTCGGGGAGCTGGATGGTTAGAAAAGCTGCTTGATCTCTAACGGTTTGATCCAGCGCCCTTGTGTTCTTGGCTGTAAACCTTTTGCCGTGTACGTTAACCGGAGGTTGTTTCCAGCTAAATCCCTCAAGCTCGAAATTGATCAAAGTTTCTGACCTTACCTTCAAACGCGTCAGCCGTACTTTAAAGAAACCTTTACAGACCCCTTTATACACAGATTCTTTTTTCCTCCTGCTCTTTCTAGGCCTTCCCAGACTCTTCGGCTCTAAACTCCGCTCTATCTACAGTATGTGTTAGAATATATTAAAAGCTTCCGCATGCGTTGCCTTAGAGCTCACCGTCGGCTGCACTCGAGGCAACTGTAACCTCATCACACTTGGCTCTTATCAAAGAGAACGGCTGAAAACGTCATTAAATCTCGACTTTAGCTCGGTGACTTTAAGGGTCGCAGACTGTAATAAGTTTTTATGTTTTCTGTCGTCTTCTTTTCCAGAAGTTGTGAGTACCGCTTTTTCCGTGTCTTTTAACAGGCGAAGGCGACGTTCCTGTCATATACTGAATGGTTCTAGTTGTTGTCAGTGCTGTTTCAGTACTCTCTCTCATAGGTTACACTTGGAAGGATTTATTCCAAAATGACACATCCATTAATATGAAGAAAAAAAGAAAAACGGTCTGTAGTTCAAATTCGAATCGATGTCTGTTGATAATAACACTACTTAAATCCTTATTTGACACAGTAAAAGCAGAGTGGTCCTATTTTTTTTCTAGAATTATTTTCTTCTCAAATGGATATATTGTAATTTGGAATAGATTTTTTCATCTACTCTATAATATGTTTAAGTGGTGGATAGAAGTGACTCTTGCAGTTGGTAGATTTGTAAGGTATTAGACTGCTAAGTGATGTTTTTTTTTAAAATTTTGTTTTAAATTTTTTGCTTATTCTTTGTCATACGGAGTAGCACAACTCGATTTAGTGGCCTCTTTCAACCAAATAGGGCTCTTGATTTTTATAATTTCCGATTTTTAAAGCTTTTCTTTCCCCCCTTTTAAATAGTTTTCTATGTGATCTAAGTGCTAGATTCATGTTGGCACTAATTAGAAGAAAAAGAAGGATCCTTGTTTAAACGTATGAAATGTGATGCTTAACGAAATGGAAACGAGCATTATTTTGTTGTTTGTACTGTAATTAAGTACTTTTTTTGAAATATGCATAACATTGTCAATGTGATGATGTTTATTTGAATGCCATTTTCTTTTGGCTTTTTTAGTAGTCTAAGATGGGTTTGATCAGAAGGACTCACTGATTTTTACATGTCAAGACTGCAGTTTCGTCTGGTTTTATGCTAATATGAATTATGTACATTGTATTGATGCTAAAGAGGAGGAGTTGGAGGCTGACATTGTAATGTATCTGAACTTCAGAAGCATGTTTTACAAACCCTTATTGTACAGATTATGTATTCAGTGTCACGTTACCTGTTACTGTTGTTGCTTTCTGTGTGTTTCTCGTACAAAGCTTTTAATTAAAAGCTCTCTAAAAAAACTTCCTTTTGGCTGTTGTCATATTTTAGTGTGATTTAACATAAGAGGCAGACTGTAGAATTAACAGCTGTAGTTTTTCATTTTACTTGGTGCCCGAAGTGGTGCTGACAGCAGAGTTAGGCTCATCAATTCAACTTCAACACTTAAAATCAACTCCAGATCTGCCCAACTTATGAAACCTCACCTGACCCGGGCTACAGCCGTCTGTTAAATAGATTTCACAGGACTCTGAATTCCTCTGAAAAATTAAGTGTACCTTTACTGCTTTCACAGGAAATAAGAACAAAAGTAGCAGCTGGCCGCTGCTAATCAGACGCACAATTCCTTCAATTCATTATCAAGTGTGAGCACCTTTAGACTTTTTTTAACAGTTTGCTGCTCTGGAGTGTTCTGGTGTGTGTTAACAAAGTGCTAAATCTTCCTAGGAGTGTATGGCTTAGTAAGTTCACCCTAACGTCAGACTGAAAGGGCCAAAAACTTGGCCCTAACTGTATCAGAAAAGAGGTGGAGAGGGAAATCAAGTCAAGTGGCTTTATTGTCATTTCAACCATATACGGTGGTACAGTACACAGTGAAATGAGACGGTGTTCCTCCAGGATCATGGTGCTACATGCACACTACATAAAGTGCACGTGTGCAAAACTTGCAAAAACAGTACAACACCAGGCAGAACAGAAAGATGCAGACACAAGGCAGTGCAACAGAAAAGTGCAACAATGACAAAGGATTGTGCAGAAAGCACTTGAGTTAATGGAATGTTTAAAGGTGTGTGTGTTGTATGTATATGACACTGTGCAGGAAATGTTTGACTGCCAGAGCTTCACATCAGGTAATCTCTCCATATCCACCACCCTATTTGTCATGTTTGTTCATATTCACATGGCAGAGTGTACAGGGAACGTCTACGAAGTACAACACAAACAAAAATATAATGCATATATAAATGTTCTCAGACAGTGTCACCGATATGTAACGGGCCTCTCACAGCCGGCTGCACATAGAGACCAGTTCTGTTATTGGAAAACGAATCATTTAAAAAATATATATATATATATATGAAAGTTAGTTTGTGTTTTTACCACAGAAATATAGAGCATGAAAAGGCTTCCAGTTACTCATGGATGGTACGTACTGACACTACTTAAAAACACTGATAAGTTCTTACTCTGATACAGCGGAAATGGCTAATAATGATCCTGCTTGGACCATCTGGAAAAAAAAAAAAAAAAAGACCAATTTCACTTGAGCACTATTGCCAGAGTCCACCGTGAGGCGCTGTTGAGCTGCTCATTTTCTTTCAGAGTAATGGAGCAGCAGCATCTGTGTTCTCAGATGGATTGTGAGAGTTGGGGGTCATATTAAGGTCATCACGCCTGTGTATTCATCTTTGTGTGTTTTGATGTGGAGATGAATACGTCGAGTTCAAACAGCTTCATCCTTTTCCACAGGCAGTATTTCATTTTATTCTTCTACCCTTCAGACTGTGGGACGTATAACAGAAAGACACATGTAGTCTCCTTTCGCTCCTTCCCCGTGCTGCCTTTGGTTCTCTGTCTGTTTCCTTCCTGGCCCGATACCACAGGCGCTTACTGTATGAGCCAGATGGAGCTAAAACAGACCCAGAGTTTGATACGAGTGGCCAACATCTGTGTGTTTGTGTTTGTGTGTGTGTATATAACATACACATGTGCATTAGTGAGTGCAAGCTCAGTCACCTCTGGAGATTAAGCCACAATCTGGGTTACTGGTCATTAGACTGAAGCCCATCTGCATTTGGTGTTTGAGCTTCTGATGGTTATAGATACATATTCCGTATTTTTCATGTGATTTCATTCATTTCATTCTGCAGGAGTTTGACTTGAGGGTAAAAACTAACACAGCAGTGTAGTTCCACAGTATTCCTTATATCCTGTTAAATAGAAATTTTAAACTGTGTGTGTCCTTGCAAAATAGGTACTAAAAGTGAATGTTTTCTCTTTGCTTCATAAATATTCCAGCCTGTTCACAGCGAAAAGGCCGGGTCAAGTTGATTGCAATGTTCCACACTGAAAAAAAGACTCCTAACAAGGTTAAGCTGCATTGAGAAAATTTTTAAAAAAACACTCTCAAACATAAGCCCTGCAAAATCAATGGGTGACACCTCACCTCCTGTATTATGGAGCAAGCACACAAGAAGAAGAGGCAGAGATGCCTTCGTTGGCTCTGCAGACTGGAAGGAAAGCAGTCGGAGGACGTGTTTACATTCGCTTCCCAACCGTACACAGACGGCAGTGCTGGTTTTACTTAGCCGGTCTGTCGCTTTACACTGAACAGATAGGTAAGACGTTTTGAACAAACGGTGAATTCTAATGACTTTGACAAACACAAAGTGCCACCAGCTGCTCCAGGTTTTCACTTATGCCATTCATGGATGGGCTCAAAATCTGACACAACCAGTCCTGAGACAATAAATCTCACTTTAGATCTTCCAGCGTTGACAGCTGCACTTTTTAATTTGACTGGCTGCCTGGAGTGGTGTTGACAATAGAGACGTCAGACGAGGAGCGCAGAGGGAATTGTTTGGCTGCCGGAGTTGCGGATCTGGTTTCATATTCTAAATCATCTGTTCATCTGATATCCATATGAAAATATTGTTTGCTGCAATTTCAACCTTGTTGGTTGGAAACCATGTTTTGGCTGCTGTGAATCTAGCCAGTGCACTGCTGCTCACTGCCTGAATGCTATCATCATTGTACCCGACTGGGTGGGACACATGGGGCTGCTTTCACAGTCTTTCTCCAGACATCAATTAAATCCTTAAAAAAAGTCACTTGTGTTCATCAAACAGAGTGTGAGTGTGTGTTTTTTAATCCACTCTGTAAAATAGCTTAGATATAACTCCACACCTTTAATTCATTTACTATGCACAGCTATACGAAAATGCAAAACCCTATTTCCTCAGCCACTTACTCTTGGGTGGAGGCTGTACCTCAAGAGGTTCATCTGCTAATGAGTGGAGGGTTGGTGGTTCAATACTAAGCTATTTGAACTCTTGTGTATGGGGCTGCATAGCTGTGGACCAGTCAGGGTGCCTGTGCTGACTTCTGTCCACTCCTGAAAGCACCAACAATGAACATGTGAGCATCAGAACTGGACCACAGAGCAGTGGAAGAAAGTGGCTGCTCTATATGAATCACGTTTTCTTTTACATCACATAGGTGGGGCTCTGTGTGCATTGCTTACTTGGTGAACAACTAGCACCAGGATGCACTATGGGAAGAAGGCAAGCAGGCATTATTACTTTGTTGCATATCACATACACCCTTTCATGCCTGTGGCTTCTAAGGTTTTGATGGGCCTCCAAATTCTCCAGATCTTAGTCCAGTCGAGCTTCAGTGGGATGTACTGGGCAAGTCAGATTCATAGAGGCCTCACCTGGCAGCTTACAGGATCTGTTGCTAACATTTTGATATCACATTACACCTTCAGTGGAGTCCATGCATTGAAAGGTCGGGGCTGTTTCGGCAGCAAAAGGGGGACCTACACATTATTAGGCAATTAGGCATTAGCTAATGAAAACTGTCACTGTGAATCGAGAGGTCCAGGCTGACGCTTATATTAACAGCTGTGAGAGAAATATATTTTGGAAAGTGTGTTACAGACATCAACAGCCGCTAAGAATGAAATAGAAATGAAGTAATGAACAAGTCCCTGAACCTGTTGAACATATACATCAACCTTTGGTTAACGCTAATAAAACCTACTCGCCTCCTACACTATCACAGCAAATACAGTAAACACTGCTGCAGTAACGATGTAGCAATCCAAGGGTGTCAAAAGCTGCTGTTCCGTGAGAAGCTGCTGGTGATTCACGCAGAGATACACAAATTCTCCTTTAGCTACAGCGGCGCTGGATGTGACAAAGATAGCCCTGCTGACATTAACCCGATAATTCGTGACACCAACAGCAAAGAACACCTTGGTGTCAAACGTCAGCGTTTGACCTGCCTTAAAATGAGAACACTGAAGTCCAGGGTTGTCAAACTCATTCATGGTCCACCTACAGCACAAACAGGCCTTTGATCTCAGATGGACTGAAATAAAAGTGCTGCATAACAAGAAAAAGAATACAAGTTGTTTCCATTCCTTTGAGTGTAAGTACAGGCTCATTCTGAAATTAAACGTTGAATAAAACATGTATTTTCAAAAGACGTGATGAGCATCCAGAGCTTGCTTGAGAAAAATAAATGCACTTTCAACAATATGTCTCAGTTTTTCAACATTCAGCTGGTCGACTTCTGTTGTAAGTCAGGGGAAGACGTAAGCACGATGATGTCTGTGTGAGTAAGAAGGCTATAAAACTGCAGATGATTCAGACCTAACAACACAATGGCTGCTGCTGTAAAACACAGTGAAAAGTTTCTGCTTCATTCTCTGCAATCCAAGCAGCGGGCCACGGGTGGATATGGCAAGTATGTGTTTGTGAGATATCTCTGGAAAGTGTAAGCTAGGTGAAAGGTGTGTCATGGGAAGTGACCTCACTGATTTTAGTTGTTTCATTACAAAGCAAGAATCACATATTAATAGCTTTATTTTCCTTTCTCAACACTGACATCAGATCTTTTCACAGTGGTAGATTACATGTCTTTCTTTTTCTTTAATTTTACATATGCATATTTATTTGGATTGCTATGCAGAGAAAACTTTATAAAAGTCTTTCCTCCATCCAGCGGAGAGGATTTGTTTGCCGAACAGAGCCACAGAGGACAGAGGGTCAGGGTTGGATCATTCCTGTCGGCGTTAGTGCTGCATTAGTCGGGACTGCCTCTTGAGGAAAACATGTTCTTCCTCCTACTCAGTATAAAAACCCTGGTGTTAAAGGTCCCACGTCTCTGTTTTTCCTTTCTTCTTCTCCTCTACACTATCCAGCCTTTCCACTTCTGCTGCAGCTCGTCTTACGTGCGATTTCTTACATCAGATGTCGCATGTAAATAAACTCAGGCTGTACACATAGTTGTGAAGGAAAAAGTGCACTGCACACTGGGATTTTGCATCCCTTATCAATGCAGTTTGGATTCTTTACATCGGTTTTTATGTTAAGTTTTTAAAATGTGTCCACCCCCCCTTTCCTTCCTTTTATCTTCCAAGCCTCCAGAACAGGATGTGCGCTCAGGCAGCGCAGTCACACGCTGATCCATCATCGCCTTGTTTGCTCGGCTGCTGCTGGAGGTTCACCTAGGCTCTGACCCGCGCATGCCCACAGCCTCGCTCCTCCTCTCCGAGAGATCCCCATAGTAACGCGCGGAGGAGAGCAGCTTAGCAACACGGAGACTGGAGAGGGAGCATCTCTGCTCCAGACAGCGCGGTGCCGTCAACATTAGGTACACACAGAGGGTGGTGAGGAAACAACAGCAGCAGAGCCCCGGATCTACCCGCTCCTACAGTAAGTGTCACATTCCGCCTGAAAGATCTGGCGACTTTATTTGACACGTCAGGCTGAGATTATATTGAGGCGGGCTGCAGTCTTCCTACATGCTGTTCTGAGTTCCAGCCTCCAAAGCCCAGACAAGTCTTTGTTTTTGTTTTATTTTTTAAATTATTTTTTAAAGGATTTTTATTTGTATTTGTTTTTTATTGCAGGCTCGTGTGTGTGTCACCTTGTGTCTGAACTCCTGATCTACATCACTGCTCTTCACGGTCACCATGAAGTTCGCAGTGGTGCTCGTGGGAGCGGGCACTCTGGCCTTCCTCGGCGCGGTCATCTGCATCATTGCCAGCGTTTATCCGTTTAAACGCGCCGCTCTCGTCAGCGATAACGGAACCCTGACGTCGGAGTCGCTGCTCCAGCCTCTGGAGCCGGGGTCGGTGGCTCACGCCGGGCCGCTGGGCGCTCTGCACGGCGCGGAGTCGTACGATGGTGGAAACGGACTCGGCGGCATCGGCGTGGAGGTTCCCACTCTGAACGAGCTCAACCTTGGGGAGGAGACGGGTGGAGGGCCGGCGAAGCAGTTCAGCTTCAGCCGTCTCATCTGCACTCCTGTGCCTGTGGGAGAGTGCAAGACTAAAGACCTGAGGCAGCGGAGGGACCACCAGCAGCAGCAGGCGGACGATCCGCTCTACGGCACAGGGGATGAAGACCTGCGGACCACCGCGGAGGAACTCCGGCAGATGGTCCTGCAGCAGAACGACCAGATCCTCATGGACCAGAGGACCATAAGGGAGCTGACCGGGAAGCTCAGCGAGTGCGAGAGCGGCCTGGAGGACGAGCGGAGCATCCCGGAGCGCAGCATCGGGGTCTGGAGCGGGAACCGCCGCGTCATGGCCGGGGATGATGTGACCTCATCCGCCGCGGCACAGCTGCAGACGGCGCGGGCCGTGGAGGAGCTGGCCCGGGCCATCATGGAGCTGAAGGATCGCATTGAGAAACTGGAGGTAAACACAGGGATGCTGAGTGCGGGCTTGTCGCTGATTAACCTCCTGTCTGAGTTTTGTTTGACAGCGGGAGATTTGGAGAGGCACCAGAATGATGCATTAGCAGATGAGTCAGTGCCATTCAGTCTAAATTAGGCTCATTTCAAGATCTATCCTAATTTTAGCTTGATATCCACTGTGGTGGTTTAGGACTAACCATTAGAATTGACTTATGATTCAGATTAAAGTGCCACAGCTCTGCTGGTTCTCTGAGCCTGAAGAGGGGCTCTGGTCTTTATCTCTCTACACCTCTTTTCATTCTCCCCTCCCTCTTTTATCTTCTGCTCCTCTTTCCTCTGACAAGTAGCCTAACTCGTGACACAGATACCCCTGATCTCTTGCGCAAGCTCCACACGGACCCATGGGAAATCTTTCCACCTGCTGGCCCTCACGCTCCTCCGCATCCCCCCACCCTGCTGCCTCATACCCTGTACCACCGCATCTCCCACAGCAGGATGGAGACATAAATAAAACATGAAGCTGGCTGGACAGGAAGGAGGGAGGTGGAGTAGGGGGGTCAGATTTTATGTGTGTGTGTGTGTGTGTGCAAAGATTGAGACACACACCCACACACAAACACTGCTGCATCACTGCTGGTGCTCTCCAAGCACAGTCAGTTACAAGGTTGTCTCCGTCAGTGAGAATTTATATCCTGGACGTCCACATCCAGTCCTGCCTCAGCAACTCTCTTGATATTATATATCGCCCCCGAAGCCGTCTCATCCACACTAACAGCTCTCTCTCTCTTTACAGCTCCTCCACCAACACCTTCTTTTTTCAACTTATGCTCTGCATAGGCTACTAATACTGCCAGTGCCCGGCTGCTACAAAAGCTCTCTCCATGGCGCTGCCTTATTAGTCGAGCCCCTTCCCTGCAGTTTCATTTCAGTTTTAAACCACCACTACATCTAACATCGATGGCAGCCATATTTAGAGGCAATAAAGACAGGACTGGGCTCTGCTCATTGCCATTATGTTAAATCTGTTCATGTATTTTTCACAAATATCCCCACAGTGAATAGGAACTGCACTGACAGCCTTTTTTAACAGCATTTTCCACTTTTAGCCAATATTCTCACCCTCAGCTCTCATAAAAAATAGTTAATTAATATTTATTGACATTGCTCAAGGCATCTCTACGCCCAACCTAAGGCGCAAATAAACAGCATTAAAAATTGAAAGTGATCAATACGATTAGAGGTCATTGACATCTGGACAACACGCTCTGAGGAGGACGGAGCTCAGAGTCCTTGTGCTTTTTTCATTTAATCTTGGGAAAGGACTTGTCTGCAAGGCTGGGTGTAATCCAAAGATTTAATTACAAAGTAAAGATTCAGATCTTGAGACATAGATCAGGGCAGATGTTTGGCAAAGGAGAACTAAATGATTACATCATATTAAGCATACGTGGAAAAAAATCAGCTCACAAGAAGCTTCGGTGATGCAAGATTAGTGCTAAAGATAAAGCTGCGACAAAGCCATAAAGAAATATGGTAAATTATAATTTACTCATCCCAAAAAGCAAATAAGCTGAGAATGATGTAGTTAAATATACAGCTTAATAAATTAAAATATCACAGTAAGCAGATGTCTCGGTAAGATAAAAAACTACATAAAAGAAAGGAGAACAATTAAATAGAAAACCAAGTATTAATCTAGATAAATACCATGTAAAAATATACACAAACATATAACAAACACAGGTTTGTTATAAAATGTTCAAATTTGTAGTCATTTACAATTACCAATGTAAATTTTCATGACAACAAATGAGTCATATCTAAATATATTATTTTTGGCACAAAGCCTACATGGTGAAAATATGTCTTTGCATGTAACAACACATATTCTGGGGTGGATATTTCCAGACATCATGGGTCAGGAAAGCCAGGAGTACAGCAACATCCAGGATAAATGGCTTACAAGGAGATGCCTCTGTGTCTAGACAGGCTGCATTCAGTGCCACTGTGTTGTTTGACAAGGATGTCTTTCAGTGCTTGAAATTCAAAAAAGTCATTTCCTTTTTACATTGAACAAAAAGCTCTAACATTACCATGCAGACTGACTCTTGGTTAGCAGCTGTGAAAATGCTGCCAAGATAAAAATGCTCGATGTTAAAGCACAGAAAACATTTCTTTTAAGAAAAGGCTTCAGCCAGACTGATATAAGAGTAATACTGATATTTAGTGATTCAGAAATCCAATATATCAATCGATATTTCTTTTAAAAAACACAAATCATAAACAGATTTGCTTAAAATTTATTGTTTTCAGTTATTTATGACAGTGAACTTTAAAAATAATCTTTTTGTTATTTTAACAAGTTGTTCAAATCAGCTGGTTGATGAATTTTTGGTGTTCCAAACACTGGCTAACAAGGAAGTTGCAGAGTGCCCTCTGGTGGACAAACTATGTAACATCAACATTAGTAACAAGGCTGAAGGGTGTTTCTCCCACGTCTTTGTTGCTTTTTTACTTTTCATTTATCTTCAGCTGTAAAACCTATTTGCTGATATGTCAGTATCAGCAAATAGGTGAGTGATATCGGCTGATATGATATATAATTGGTTGTACTCTAGAAAAGTAATCATTAAAGGGCCACATGTAATAAGCCAAAACAGTTAAATAGTAGCGTGACTTTACTTTTGAACAGAGAACACAAAACACGGTTTGTAATCTACAATCCTTCTGCCACTCTCCCAACCTGACTCTAAAACTACACTAAGTGTAAGTAAATATAGAAAGTGTTTCATGCTACTAATGTTTACAATCAGTCATAAAATGCTACTTTAGCAAAGAGAAAAGTGAAACATATTCCTTTGTAGACTATCTCCAAATCACACGGTGGTTAGATCTGGGTGGGTTCAAATCCCACTACTTCATGGAGTTAAGTGGGTTCAAATATTCATAGAGGAACAAATTATGATTCATTTTATTATATTATAAACACATCATTTAGTGTGGGTGTGCCTGGTTTCATTTGTGAATACACAGGTGACATCTATATATATATATATATATATATATATATATATATATATATATATATATATATATATATATATATATATATATATATATATATATATATATATATATATTACTTCCAAACTGTCACTGGAACTGTAGCATTGCTCACCTACTGAATCATTTTATGTCCTTGTCATAAATCTGCTGTTGTTAAATTTGTTCTCTAAATGTGTCTAACCAGTAATAACTAGCATCAATGCTAATACAGACCTTGTGTTTCTTATTTCTCTCCTACAGGCAGAGATAGGCCCTGCTGCTTTGAACCTCACAGACACATCTGTGGGCGTAAATAGTGGCGGCAGCAGCAGCGGCAGCGGCAGCAGCACAGCTGGTAACACCGGCAAGGCTCCAGCTCCGCCTTCCAGCACTACTTCCTCCCTATCTGCAGGGTCTGCCCCAGGGGGCCGCCGTCCTGCTTCCCCAGGCTCCTCTGCCTCCAGGCCTCCTGCTAAGGGTCCCCCTGGGCGTGGAAAGAGCACCTGGAGGGTGGAGGACCTGGAAGGGGAGCTGGAAAGGAAGATAAAGATGCTAGAGAAGGAGAGACAGGCCATGAGGAAGGAGACTCAGGGCCAGCATGAGAAGATCAACAAGGGCATCGACAACGTCAGCCACCGTGTCACCGAGCTGGAACACAGTGAGTATGGGGGTGGGAAGAAAGGAAAAAAAGAGGAGGCGAAATAAAGACATGACATTGTTGGCTAAATGAACGAAGGAAGGGACAGATTAACTGATGTAAAGGGTAGTAAGACAAGGGCAACATCAAGCTGAATGTAGATCAGAGCATTGCAAGAGAAGGCTGAAATGAAAGTTTAACGAGCTCTGCTGGTGAACTGGGTCATCTCAGCAGCAGAGAATATGCTTTAGATTAAAATTAGATGATTAATGAGTGCTTAAGAGTGGGAAAATGTCAAAGTGAGAGCTGAGAGCTAAAAATAAAAATAAAATAAAGGAAGGAGAGAATAATATATCTGAAATCATCCGCTGCTTTTACCTGCTTTAATCTTCATCCTCACGGGGGACCTATGGGAAGGATTCTTGCTTTGCGGGTGTCAGGAACGAGGTCTGGATGTGTCACGTTGGTTTTGAAGGGCTTTATTTGCAGATTTTCTGAGCAGAAATAAGGTTACTGCAGGTGAAAGCTTCTCGAAAAAGGAGTATACGCTCTTTGATAATGGGAGAAGTGGATGCTCAGAGGTGAGATTGAGAGTTTGCGAGGTGCCAAGAGGAAGGTTAATAGGAAAAAGTGCTGATTTATCCCCTTTTTTTTCACCACTCTGTCATTCTCCCAACCTCTCTGACCACCTCTACATCTTCTCAGCTTTAAGAGCTGCAGTGTGGCCTCGAGTTAGAGAGGGTGATCATTAACTGTAACATCTGAGCTCTTGCCAAGCGCTCTGCGCCCGAGTGTGGGCTTGAGCGCAAACTAGCAGAGACAAGTGAGAAGGGAAGCCTCAGTGTCCTTGTATAAATTAATGCAATCATCGCTCGCTGTTTTCTCTCTGGGTCTGCCTTACAGCGTCTAACTTCTTTCTCTTCATCTCCTTCATGTGTGTCTCCAAAGCGATGACGGAGCCACCGTTCCCTGACGGCTTTGTCATCTCCTTCCCTATGCGGACCAACTACATGTACGGCCTGGTCAGGAAAGAGATTACTGAGATGTATGCCTTCACTGCCTGCCTATGGCTCAAAGCCAAAGAGGGTGGCATTGGGACCCCCTTCTCCTACTCTGTGCCGGGGCAGCCCAATGAGCTGGTTCTGTTACAGGGAGTCCACAATCCCGTGGAGCTGCTTATCAACGACAAGGTAACGAGGGTTTCTCAGACCTACCTGTCTGTTGTACCTGTGCTAATATCTGGACGTTGGGACAAGTCAGAACATTTTACATGGGAAAATTAATGGTTCTTGTCGGGAAAAGCATTAATATCTCATAACCTTTAAGGTTTCCTTGTAATTACTCAAGCACAGAAGCCTGCAAGGAAACTAATTACGATGTCTTACAGAACAGTAGAGTATAGTTGATGGCTTACTGTTATTAAAGTGAGCGATGTAAACATGTTCATTCTCACAGACTTATTGAATTTTACAAGAGTGATGGAAAAAGCAAACCTGAAAATGTCACAGCTGTGTGCTGTCGTTTGAGTAAACAGTACGTGAATCACCATCTACATTAAGTTTGGGTTTTGGTTCTCAGCCTCAGGTGTGCGCTGGTGTTGATCCCACTTCAGCCATCGATCACCCCCCCCAAAAAAAAAGAAAATATGTGTATTCCCATAATGCAGAAAACGTAAAACTAAAACAGACGGTGCACTTCAACAACACATTAAAAATTTACAAGTATAAACTAGATAGGAGGGAAAAAAAGAGCATTAAAATCAGACTTTTTTGTGATTTATCATGGCCACAATTCAGTCGCAAACTGCAACATTACTTTGCCTAAAATTGTTCTTTGTCCAGAACAAATGCCTTGATTAAAATCAATTAAAAGTAAGAAGAACCTGCCCTCTGTTTGTGTTTTTCTGCATTTGTAGCAGCGGGATCCACAGCAAACATACATTATTGAGGAACAGTCAGTTCCACGCCAGTGTTTTCCTTTAATATTGCTCATATAGTTGCTGTATAGTTCCCATGAGAGAGTGCAATGTAGTCGAGGTTTACCGTGGTGAAAGGTGTTCCAATTATAATGCGAGCTCAGTGTTTGCAAGTTTGAGAAATTCTAACTGCGGCCGCTGTTTCCTCTGGCCTGTAGGTGGCGCAGCTGCCCCTGTCCCTGCCACAGGATGAGTGGCAGCACATCTGTGTCAGCTGGACTCTCAGAGATGGGGTTTGGAAGGCCTACCAGGGTGGGAAGATGAAGGGACGAGGGGAGGGACTGGCGGCCTGGCACCCAATCAAACCCGGGGGAGTCCTCATTCTGGGACAGGAGCAGGTGAGACGGATGCATGGATGGATGGATGATTCATAGGTGAATGATCCATGGATAAACATACACAGAGAAACCAGGAGAGCTATTTTAAGGAACCACCATTAGCTTTTCACACATGAAGAGGCAGAAACCTAATGGTGTTTATCCTCACGCTTGGCTGCTTCATTAGCGAAACAACTACATTACAAAACGGTTACGAAATGCGACATTATCCCTCCCTGGTGTCAGAAGAACAACCCGAAGCTCATCCCGCAGCTCTTTTGTCCTTGCATAAAAGACAAAAACACTGATGGAGCACGACGTAATTTGATGGATAGTTTCGAGAGGGAGCAAGTATTTCATTAATCTCCTCTGAGGATGGCTGATGGATTGCTGCTGGCTGAGATGTGTTGACTTGATTTTATCGAGAAAAATCCCAGGACACAAGAGGGAAATTAATACTTTTAATTGTATTTGTGCAAAATCAGGAAAAAATGTAATATTTTCCTGCAGAATAAACTTTATTTTAGCTCAGTGCCTTCACCAGTTACCTGATTTGACATTTAAAGCATAGTTTTGGTATTTATCCAAAGAAGTGGGTAATCGTTATTTACTTAATGTTAATTAAAAACTTTGTCAAGCAAACTGCTGCCAAACGATATTCCAATGGAAATCGTCCTTTTCCCCCCCCACCACAAATAATAATGTAATAATGTTTAAAATGGCTGGTGTTGAAGTTCTGAATGTGCTATCTCTTCTACCCAAGGACACACTGGGTGGACGTTTTGATGCCTCCCAGGCTCTGGTCGGGGAGCTCTCTCAGTTTAACCTGTGGGACCGGGTGTTGAAGCCAGCCGAGGTGGCCGCCGTGGCCGACTGCAGCTCCTCGGCCCTGGGCAACATCGCGCCCTGGACCGACCACGACGTAGATGTCTACGGCGGCGCCACCAAGGAGTCCCTGGACCCGTGCCACGCCGCCCAGAGATCCAACCCCTCTGGCCCCAAACAGTGAAGAATGACTGGGAGAGGGCAGCCATGCTTGAGAGGTCAATTTAGGAGTGAATTGAAGAGTCTAAAGAGTTTTTATCCAAGTTGGAGCATCCAGTATAATTTGCTTGTTGGGGGTTGGTAAGCTTACTACCAGTGGACTATTAAATTGTCAAGCGTGGTGTATCTGTTCTGTTCTTTGTGTTGGTGTCCACGCTCATGTGTTTACTTCTGCAGTGAGATACAGTGAGTTTAGTCACAGAATCACCTTAGTGAAGGCTTGCATGGGTCAATCAACCTCTGGCGTGAACGTGTTTAAACGGAGACTCTGCATTGATAGAGTGGAATCTGTGGTTTAGATGATAATCTCTTGGGCCAGTCAGCCATACGAGATTATTCCTGCAGGTTTCAGTGCAGTCATGGAAAGAACCTTTAACGATGCCACATCTAAGGGTTTCTCCATTGTTGTTTTTTTGCAACACAGTGACACAAAATTCCATCTCTTCTTCATCCCGTGTCCAGCTGGTTGTGTTATGATGCTACAGCTGATTTCTGACATGCTCTAGTGGTCATATCTATTTTTATTACTCAATGGGGAAACCGAGTTTGGTCCGTTTTTAACTGTATATGATCCTGTCGAGTAAAGTCTGTGTGCTTTTCGGTTTTTCTATATTGCATACCACGATTCGGTAAACCAGTGGACTTATAAATGTATAATGTGTAATGTACTTCTGCTAATGTTGCTCTGTATCAGTCTGCTCCTCCCCGCCCCATGCCTGCTGTAGCCTCTCGTGCATCTCACAGCCCAGCAAAGTGAAGTTGCAGCGTTTTTCTTTTCTTATTGTTTGCAGCTTAGATAAAACAGCGCTCTCAGCCGACCCCTGAAATAAAACGTCATGTCTAACTAAGCACCACTAAGAGAACTGGTATTACGATATAACTGTGGTATCACTGAATGTAAATCAGATGAAATGTAAATGTTTTGTTTTGTTTTTTTTGGTGAAAATTACAGTGTACGTATTCCACACTGCCCCACTCTACACATGTTTTTATTAAATCCTCACAGACTGAGGGGGAGGGCATGAGGTGGACTGATTCCATGATGGCCATTTTGTACTTAACAGCTGGCTCTGTGCAGAAAACACAACCTGAAGGGAAGACTGTGCTTCCACTGAGCGACAGTAAAGTCAAACTACTGCCACCTTTTAAGTAACCTGAAGAACTACAAGCCAAACAAATAGATAGTAAAATCATTAAGCCTTTAGATTACATTAGATTGTTGGCATTTTTTATTGATAGTTATGCACCATGGAAGCATTTGAGTCCCGTTTTTTACATTTAATGAAGGATATATATATATATATTTCCCTTGTTTTAAGTTGCTTGGTTTTGAGCACATTTTTTCCAAAGTTGATCGTACGGGACTTTTTTTACTTAAATAATTAATTTAACTTGCTTGAAGACATTTCACTTCTCATCTGAGAAGCTTCTTCAGTTTTAGGGTCAAACGGTGGAGTGTCCCAGATTTAAGCTCTGTGGGAGTGTCCCCCAAGAGGGACAATGGACCCCCTAATGATCCTCTACCTAATCACATGAGCCAAGGTGTGAAAATGGGTGTAGGTCACAATTAGCCAAGGTTTCAGGTGAGCTCATTGTGAAACCTAGCCCCACCCCATCATGTGATTTGAGGTCTGATGGCCCAGGATGTGAGTGGGCCTTCCCAGACGATGAGCTCAGAACCTTAAAGAACCTTAAAGAAGTCCAGGCGTTTTGTTTCTAAGCTCCTTTGACTACGATGACCTGGATGACTGAGAACCTTCACAGACAGTTAACTAAACTGTGATGCTCTGTGTTTTGTTTTGGGGTTTTTTTTGCGGCGAATCTGTAAAGTCACATGGCTGTATTCCTCTGATGTCTGGCATTTGATTTGAATCTTTCATAGTCAGCTTGAGATGGATGCGCTTAATGGCCTGCATGGAGTTGAGGCGGATATGCGAGGCGGACATCACAGGAAATAGAGGAGGGAAGAGCAAACCAGATGCACTGTGAGGGCCGAGGGTTTAATTCTCGCTTCGTCCAGCTACGCTAAAAAATGTATCCAGTCAACACTGTGCAGCGAAATGAACTGTGGTTAAGATACACTCAGTGCTTCTGTTCACTTATTACCTCAATCCATCATTCCCGCAAACAATTTGACACCCTGTTGTAAAGTGCCTGCCAGGGCTCTCGTGCCCACAGAATGGTCAGAGTTTTTTTTTTAGAGTTTTCTTCTTCGTCGTCTCTTTCTTCTGTTTCTCTCTCTCGGTTTTGTTTGGTCGTTGATGGCTGTGACAGTGTTGCGCTTGTCCTTATCTGCATCTTCATGGATCTTCTTTGGTATTGTGAAATAGGTGGATAAAAACTAATAAAGTGGTTATGACAACAGTTCTGGAGTCGTAGCTTTTTAACATGACGTCAAAAAAACAAAAGCAAAAAGAAAGAAAAGAAGAAAGTGTGGGATGTGTGTGCTGGGTTTGAGTGGCTGATTCCTTCAGACTTGCCAAGCCATCCGGATTACACTTCAACTAAACAATTGCACTCAGCATGCAAGCCTTTATACATAATCACACACTAAGAAAAGGCTTTAAGCTCTTTTTGTTGTGTGCCAGACTGGATTAACAGCGTATTTGCTGTCAGATGGCACGTGTGTGTCTTTTACATGGAGGCAGTACTCAGCAAAGACACTCCACAGAAATCCTGACCGCTGATGTAGACATAATAGATTACTCATAAATTTAACGAAGATCATGATGATTCGTGACTGCTCATCTGCCCACACACCACATTTCTTGGCGATCGGTTCATCTTAGCTGTGAGCTCAAGTCTAACCTCCAACTGCACAACACTTCATTAAAGTTCTCAATCTCACTTCAGCTGGTTTCCTGTGACTTCCTCAAGACCCAACCTTTACAGTCTGATGACCAGCAATTTATGTCTACACTCTCTATACTTTTATCTCTAAAACACCAAATTTAGCTGTAATTTAAGTAAGTTTCCTTTTATCTGTCTAAATTCATTTATTTTTTTTTGAAAGGGGAGAGTTTGGTTAGAAGAATCCCCTCGAGGTTCTCACTGTGTTTGATGCCAAAGAAGAAGAAATAAAAGATATCTATGATCTGTTTCCCAAGAAGATATTAATAATCTATGGGAGGCAGGAAAGAAAGCTTTAGAGATAAACTGGCTTCTGCCACTCTAGACTGAAAAATCAACAACTGTGTGGGTCACAGTAAGATTTTCATGCAGAAACGAATGGTGGCTAGATACCTTTGGTAATAGGAAGCTGACCTTTGTGGCTTCAAGGATAGACTGTAAAAAATCAACACATCAAGTAATGTTTTCAACCCTTGAGTTTATTCTGGCTGTGCATATTGTTTTTTTTTTCAAAGCCAGAAATTAGAGGACAAAAGGATAGACCAACTAACCACTAACCATTGGTTAGCTTCGTTACTAAGGTACATCCTTTTTTTCCATGATTTTAACAGAGACGCTAACAATGGATCATTAAAGATGATTAAATTAAGCTAATAGGTAGGCTACTTAGAAGCTAAACAGGTCTCTGTAGGTTCAACAAGCGATGTAGGTACACCAATCTTTTATGCCATTGGTGACTCATCAGTGGCTCGTTGGTCTAGGGGTATGATTCTCGCTTCGGGTGCGAGAGGTCCCGGGTTCAAATCCCGGACGAGCCCCACTTGTTGCTTTGCTCTAAAAAGTTCCAAGGGAATGAAGAAAAAAAAAAAAAAAAAGCAGGGAAAATGGTTAAAGAAGTGGTTTTTATTAAAGTTTCTAATAACAACTAATCTTTTTGCAACTGCAGTTATTGCCATCTCATGGCACTTCTGCATTGGCCTAATTTTTCAGACACAGAGGCTACGTCCATGTTTGGTACCATGTATGCCCACAGCTGAATATGAACAAGAACGTGAACAAGGCTCAACAACACCCACATGCCACATGTCAATAATTCCTAATTAGAGTTTAAATTAGCATGTTATATAAAAGGCTACTCCCTGTACAGCTGTTGCGAAGGAGGAAATGAAAAAAACAACACAATTTTTTGCACCAGGCTGAATAAACCTGCTTCTGCTATAAAGCTGAGTTGATTTTTTGGAGCGAGCAATTCATTTTCAATTCAGATTTATTTACATAGCACCAATTTCCAATAACAGTCACCTCAAGGTCATTTATACTGTAAGGTAAAGACCCCACAGTCTTCTGAAGAAAACCCTAATAACTAAACTTTGTGACTGTGGGAAGGAAAAAACTCCCTTTTGACAAGAAAAACTCGGATCAGAAAGAGGCAGCCGTCCATCCCGACAGTTGGGTGGCTGTGGCGCAGGAGTTTAAAGCAGGCTGCCTGCTAACCAGAAGGTTGGTGGTTCGACCCTTGTTTAACCCCAAGTTACACCAGAGTATGGATTTGTGTCAATGTTAAATAGAAACTACTTACATTAAAAAAAATGAATGAGGTGAGTTGTATATAAAAAAAGTGCTCAGTTAGAATAGAAAAGTGCCATATACCATGAGGGGAAACAAGAGAAGATAGAGAAGAGAATGAAAAAGAGAGGATGGGGGCAAAAGCCCCCATATCAGATGCACAATAGTTTCCTGTGGATGGATTATTGTGGGATGTTTGGTTTTCAACATCAAACCATGCTTGTATACAACAATGGCCATTTGAGACAAACAAGCACAACCAGCCAAATCTGTGAGAACAAGACAGGGAAAAATTGCTTCTCTTTCTGTCTGAACACACTTTTTGCCACATTTGTGCTGATGCTGGCTCCTCGACATGGAGATTTAAGGACATATTTCGAGAGTCATCAGCCAATCACTCAGATGGATAATTAGTCAATCACTCAGATGAATCATCTAAGCAGCAAATATTGTTTTTCATTGTTAATTTCTGATTCTTGGCTCCATCTTTCTGTTGATGTCGCCTCTGTCACAGCTTGTTAGCAGAGTCACATGGAGCGTTCCTTTCCTCTCCCCAACAGTCTGCTTCCCCAGCTGTTGAATTATAGATACCTTATTACCTCTGTGTAAGGGCGGCATTTTATTATGAAAAACCTTATGTGACACACTACCAACCAGCGACAAGTCTAACACGAGTTTTTACATTTAATCTTACAGCCTCTCAGAATCTTTCTGCACATTTTTTTTTCTCATTTCATTCAGGACAGACTTGGCAGGGAGGCGAGCGCCAGTCTTTCTCGTGACTACAGAAAAAAAAAAGATTACAGATGGATTTTATTGTCACTGCAACTCATGGCTTCATTGTCATGAGCCCTGCAGTCATGCAGCTCTTACAGATCCTCTCATAATTGTACAATTAAGTAGTTATTCACCTTTACTTGCTTTGCTTTAAAAACCTAGGCTCCACTATCCAAACTACTTTTACTTTCTTTTTCTTGGCCTCATCTCATACTTAACATAAAATATTTACAGTGTGTTTTCCCCTTGTGATAAATAATTTCCTCAAGGTCTTTATATCACCAGCTTTTCTCTTGACATAGTTTCAACACACCGTTTGTCAAAAACATCTCCTTCTTTCCTTTACTTTGACATTCTCATTTCAGCGTACCCACCAGCCCTCTGGCACCTTTTTTGTGATTTTCTCACCTGGGTATGCAGTGCTTGCTTTCTGCCACTCAGTGTATTTTTGAAGCTGTTTCACATGTGATTGAAGTGTGAAACAGCTGAGGAGGGTAGCTGTAGCTAAGGAGATGGAGCAGAAGATTCATGGTTCGATCCCTGGCATGTCAAGTACTATATCCTTGGGGAAGATACTGAACCCCAGGTTGCCACCAGAGCATCCATTGGAGTGTGGATGTTAGGTTAGGATCACTTAGGCATAGTTGGGGGAGGGGAAAAAAGAAAAGTGTGGGTGAATGAGGCTTGGAGTAAGAAAGTACTTTGAGTGCTCAAGTTGTGTAGAAAAATACTATATTAGTAGAAGTGTTTTATACCACTCAGCATTTATTTTAATAAGTTCTTGATGATTTTGAATGTAACTAATCCAAATACATATAAAAAAGTAAAGGCCAGCCTTGCTATTGTTGTTTTCATATGCAAATTTGCGAACATAAGTCAGGCTGTCATGTTCTTTTCAGAGAGAAGAGGCTTTTTCCTGGCAACGCTTCCCAGAAGCCAAACATGCTGTCATGAACTTTCACATGCTATCTGAGATCTGGAGAGTCTGAGATGTAGCTCTTGGGTTTCTTCCAGTTTCTACTACATTGAGTTGCCTGATATTGGGGGGAATTTTAAACTCCTGGGAAGATTGTGGGACATCGTGGCTCAAGAGTTGGCAGTTCGTCTTGTAATCAGAAGGTTGCCGGTTCGAGCCCCGGCTCCAACAGTCTTTGTTGTCTTGGGCAAGACACTTCTGGTCAAAGTGCCTGGTGGCACCAGTATCTGGCAGCCTTGCCTCTGTCATTGCACAAATAGTGCACCCCAGGGCAGCTGTGACTACAATATAGCGTGGATGACTGAATGTAGTGTAAAGTGCTTTGGCTAAGTAAAGCGCAGGTCATTAACCATTTAACATAAAGCCATCAAACACTGGAATGTTCCATAGACAGCCAAAAGTTCTGCTTTCTGATGAGCTCTTAATCAGCTGCTTTTGATTAGCAGCTGCTGGTTTCCAAGGGTAAGTAAGGGTGAGTTTATTTTTCTACATGGCTGAATTGAATCGTGTGAAAACTTTTTTTTTTTTACATAACTGTATCATATTTAGATGGGATGGTTGAGTGCTAAGTTATCAATCGATGCTAACATGCTTGGGTAGCAATGTGCATCCTCATTTGGATATAAATGTGCACTCTTTAGGAACAGTTAGCTATAAATTAATGTTATCTAGAAAAGGAAATAGAATGGTGTAATTTCAGATCAACCTTAAGCGCAAAATTTGTGGAAGAATTGTACCACAAAGCCACACTATGTGTCAGAAAACATCCTAAAAATGTTAACATGTTACACCTGGGTAAGCACATATCTGTCAGTAATAGCAATAGTGGCCACGCCCCCAATAATGCAAACTTTAGTAAAATTTTGAGACAACTTAAACAGGTGAGCTAAAAAAAACAAACCTTCTCACAGACTTGCTATAAAGTGGAAATTGTATTGTAATTTCTTATACGTGTGTATTAAAGCTAAGCAGTTTAACATGGGTGAGTCTGTGGGGGGCTGAATGGTCCTGCCAGCCTCAAGTGGCCATTGAGGGAACTGCAATTTATGTTGCCTCTGCTTTATCTCCATTTGCCCACCCAATTTTCAGCCATGTGGGGTACAGATCACATAGTTTATATGCACCTTTTTTCTGATAAGCATGAAAACTTATTTTTAACCTGAATAATAATAAATGAATGAAACAACATGTGATATAGAGATAGGAGATGTGGTTAAGTAAAGACTGATCCTTAACTTTAAAAAAGAAAAACTTGAGATCTTTGAGAATCATAGTGACCAAATTCATTCTGTGGCTTTGAAGACTGTGTGCGTTGGTTAAAGGCTTCAAACAAAGAATGTAAACAGAGTCAGAATGTGCTGTCAAACTACACATATCAGGTGGTCAAACCGATGCTGTAACCCAAATGGGTCAATTAGGCTGATCAGAAATCCTGCCAAATCATGTCATAACATAATGCACTGCTGTGCAATTAGTTAATGGCTCGGTGTTTCTCTGAGCCAGGGCACTCCCTTTTCAGAGAAGCGGATAAAGAGGAGGTGATGTGAGGGTTGAAACGTCCCAGCAATTGGTTAACAGCATGCATTTTTCTCCAGGAATTAATCATAGAGACAAGAACAGAGGAGACCGTGAGAGTGGAAGGAGAGGAAGATTATCAAGTGATCTGATTGTTTTCTCTCTCTGGGATTGATTGATAATCCACTCTAATCCACAACAGAGTCGATTATTTATTTATTTTTTAAGATGCTCGGGTTGGTATTTCAGGTTGCATTATACCATAGAGTGTTTGAGGCTAAATGGACAACCAGCAAACGCACCTCTCACTGACAGACCGTGGAATTATTTATCTTTCAAAGCACTGTGGAGTTTTCTGAGCTTGGGTTTGGTTTTGTGTGCTTGTGGGTGCACGTATGTAGAGCAGACTGACGATTCTGGGTCAAATCAATCCACCTGGGGGATTCCTCGCACATGTTTCCAGCTGAATGTGGGTCAGAGACTGTCAGAGAGCTGATTAGGATGGATAAAAAAGGTTTTACCCATGCTCTGCCTGATTGACAGGAGAGTGGCCTAATTTAAAAGCAGTTATGCATGCAGGTAGATAGTGATGATAAGTGTGTTAGCTCAAGCTCTGTATCACAGTAAAAATCATTTATACTGGTCCAAATCAAGAGACCTTCTGTGTATTTTCCACTAAATGACAGAATTAGACACCTTTATAAAATTATTCTTAAGGTATATGTTATTATAACCATCTTGTATCAAAAAGCTGTTAATAATAGGTCCACCTTAACCAGTGTCAGTATTAAGAGTTCTCCTTTTTTTCTATATGTAATAAATGAATCAGAAGTAATTACACAATTACATAGTATTTCTGTCGTTACATTTTTTTCCTTTTTTGTTTCCTTTTAATTTTCCTTGCATTTAATCTTCATTTTTTCAAATTTATTAAAAAAAGTACAGAAGAATAAAAACTTAATTTGGTTACGTTACCGTTCTCGGAAACGGGCGGATTGCTTTCCATTTGATCGACGGACTCTCAACCAATAAGAACTCAGCTCGGCAGAGCTAGGCGGGGCCCAACTCCACGGATATCGCTTGTTTAAAATGTCTCCTTAACAACCGAACTGGAAGTCAAACAGCAGAAGTTTTCGTGGGGCAAACGCTTCGTAAGTGACACATCTCCGGGTCACTGCGCATTTATCAAGTCTCGATAACGGACGGCAACCCATAACGGCGCGACGGTGGATCTAAATAAGGCGAGTTTTAGCTAGAAAACAACCAGTGCATCAAATGTTTGCTATGAAAACATGCTAAGCTAATTAGCCTGTTAGGGCTGCTAACCTGATAAGGCGCTGTCCCGTTAACAAACCTGCCGTGACGCGATACCTGTGGACACTGTTTAAGTGTGGAACCGCTTATTATTCTGGTGTGAACTACGATGTGAGACTTCTTGTCGTTAGCCAGTATAGGGCTAAACGATGTTAGCTAACTTCGTCCCCAACACAGGTCATGTTAGCCACAGATGTGAGCTTGCTGTGCAGGATAGCCACCACTCCTGATGAAGTGACACTTGGTGACACGCTCCGGGGACAGCATTTTTAACATGCACACACATGCTTTATTTGCAGGAGTCGGAATGGCCGGGACTGGCGAGGGAAAGAAAGAAGAGGCCGACTACAAGAGACTGCACAGCTTCCCTCTCATCAGGGTAGGAATGAAGTGACATTGTTCACCTAGGACCAGGACAAGGAGGTCCTGAGTGTGGATGAGACTTTTGTGATACTGCGAAATAAAAAGATTATGCAGGTGTGAGGCTGCTCTGGTTTAGTAGATGTAGTTGTGATGCATAAGCAGACTGTAAATGAGTGAAGGACACAGTCAACTTTATTTAATGTTAAGTTTAAAACAACTACTGCAGACTAAGATGGCTCAGATGAAAATTAGTGTTGCGACAGATCACAGTAAGTACTGTAAGGACTAATTCGTAGTTAAAAGTTGTAGGGTTAAACATGACTAATGCACCACCAGTTTAAAAAAAAAGCTGATTAGCCTGTGACTGTATTTCCACCAATCACAATTCACCTGTGAAGCAAATCCTCATTAATGAGCAGTTTTGCAGTCAGTATTTTCACATCGAGGTCTGCCTTAACGACTCTGAAAGAAAGAGGCTGAAAATAAGTAGGAAAGTGGTGGTATGCACTCATAGTTCCACTCATCTTTGGGACCAAGAATCAATATGCCTGCACTCAAAAAATAATAATTTAGATGAAGATACCTGTTATGTAATCGCTAAGAACTTGATAAACTGATTTAGAAACCCTATCAAACCACCTATTCAGCAGCCATTAGTGTGAAAAAGTCATCTCACGCCCACGCACAAAGCTGCCTGTTTAGTTTATCAGACACTTCCCACTGGCAAAGTTTGCTGCAGGCTGACAGCAGCCCACTGACATACATGCAGCATGCAGGGGTGAGTGTAAAGGTGGCACACCTGTGTAAACGAAACTTCTAAAATTTTAGTTGGCAATTTAGAAGTTGTGCTGCACTGTCACTTAAGGACGCCTGTGTAGCCGGTGCAGTGTCATGAAGAAGTCCATTATCTGATGGTGACATTTGCGTCTCAATGACACAGAAACTGTAACACTCATGTAGGAGTTAGTTTAGTTATTACTGGGAACCTTCTTTTTCTCTTTCTGTGAGAAAACAAAAGAGCGCACACCAAACTTCACAATATTTGTTTGGTCGTTAAATACGTGCACGCTAGGCAACACAGCAGGCTCAGGTGTGGCTCACACAAGGTGTCGTATTCTCTAAGATTAGCAAACAGCTCCTAAGCACCAACTGCAAAATCAAGTCTGTAGCTATTGTGTCTTCACACATTTGATCAGTCAGAGCACGCTGACTAAACCAAGCATCACAGTGACAGACAGCGCTAGGGAAGAAGTAGCTCGCATGGCAAGTTGTCTGACCACATTGGGGGACGGTCAGAAAGGATGAAGGCAATGCAGTGTTGTTTCTAGCTGACTTGTTTATATTCATGTCATAGCTCTGTGTTTGTCCTCAGCACACAGACATGCCAGAGGAAATGAGGGTTGAGACCATGGAGCTGTGTGTTACAGCCTGTGAGAAGTATGCCACCAACAATGAGGTGTGTATATTTTGCTCTCAGTCTTGAGTAAAATATTGAGGATGCCTTTTCAAATTTCTCTCGTGTGTTGTGCTGATGGCCAGGGCTTCTGTTTTTCTTTTTTTTTTTTTCCTTTTTCTTGCCGTCTTCCATAGAGTGCTGCAAAGATGATCAAGGAGTCCATGGATAAGAAATTTGGCAGCTCGTGGCACGTGGTCATTGGCGAAGGCTTCGGCTTTGAGGTCACACACGAGGTGAAGAATCTTCTTTACATGTTCTTCGGAGGAAGCCTGGCCGTCTGCGTGTGGAAGTGCTCGTAGCACCTTCTCTGACGTTCTCGCCGGGCTGGAAATGAACCACCAGCTACCATCCAGATGCTGGTTATACTTGTTTCGGCAGGTTAGGTCAGGTCGCTACCAGCCACTGAGGCAGGAACCGCGAAGCGCTCGTTGATTTTAAAAATGCAGCGAGAATAGAAGAAAGGGGGTTTTGATTGCGACTTTGGCTGGTGGGCCTAAAAATAGCGTCTCGCCTTGTCTGTCACCGGTCTGTTCCTCTCTGTTGTTAACCATCCATCTCTCCATTCAGTACATTAAATAAAAAAAAAAAGGAAAGAGGCGAGAACATTTGTGAGCATGCATGTGCAAGCAAGTTCAACTTCTCCAACAATTACAGCCAGCCAGGGTCTCCAAAGTCCTTTACCCTCATTCCTCTGCAGGGAGTGTGTGTATGTGTGAGTGTTTTATGTTTGTGTGTGCTGGACACACACGTTTTTGTTTTTTCCTTCTTTTTAAGTAGCACCACGTCATCGCCGTGCTCTGCAGTTTGACAAGACTGCGCAACACTAAGCCGTCCACGCCGCCTGTAACTTTACACGTGTCTTTCTCTATCCAACTGCACTAGTGTTTCAATAAAATTTGTAAGATTTTTTTATGTGTACATATTTTGATGCAACTTGAAAACACTTCTTTTTAAGGACCAGTTCATCTTCTTACGATTAAAAAGGCTCTGAGTCTTCTGAGCCGAACATGGCACCCGACCTCACCTTTTCTCCTCGTTAAGGTGTTTGTTATTATCCCTAATAATATCATCACCCCACTGGGTGATAACAGCAGTGTGATTGTTTTCATGTTGATGCCAGTTTTAATGATCCTTTGTTGGATCATTACGCGTGAAGTGACCTGATTGTATAATAAACTGAAATGTGTAAAACAGAGCCCGACATCTGCCTCTGTTTTGTTCTTTGCTGTTTCTGCGAGCTTCGTTACAGTTACCACACAGCATGCTGCAAACTTCAGGCTCACGTTTCTGATTAAATGCAATTCATGAAAAGGAGGTTTTTGTGACAGATTGAGAGCAAATTGGAACCGTTTGTCCTTGAAATGTAGTCAAGCAATTATACTGACATGAGTGATTGCATCCAGCACAGGAAATGTCATTTCTCTCATGTATCAGTACAAGTGAATATGAATGAATAAAGAAAATATATGCTTCACACAGAGGAATAAAATGGTGCCAGCTGCTTTTGCTTGGCTTTCTAAGAATAGAGAAATACAAAAAGGAGGAAAAAAGCTTTAAAAAAAACAAGATGCCAAGGCTTTATGTTCATATGGAAAAAGGAAAACATCAATGTTGGAGCGATGGGGACTTGTCATGAGGGATGATGACGCCCGACTCAGTTTTTGTTGAAGCATTAGTCTGGTTTACAGTTTAAATATTATTTTCCACTAAAGGCAAAGGATGTGTTTGGTCAGACAAAAGTGAGATGACACAAAGTTAAACTGTCAATACCACACACACACACACACACACAGAGAGAGAGCACTTACATGAAACATTTCTCAGGCGCTACATGAAAGCTGAAAATGGCTTAAAAATTCAAGCTTGTGAGCACAGAGAGATAAGGTTTAAAGAATATTTGCTCTGGCCCGAAAACGACGTGTTTATATTCAACACGTAATAGTATGTTGAATATAAACACTGCTCTCATGCTAGTGTTAAACTCAGCCCTGAAGTGAAAGGTCCGGTGCTCTAAACCCATCAGCCACAAGATTAAAGGTGATATTTGCAACATTAATAACCTTGTTTCAATGATTTCCTAGGAGACCACAGGTCCTGACATTTATATGGGTGTTAGTGTTACACTTGGCACAAGCCTGACTAAGCCCACTGCAGTCCCTCACTGGACTCAAGAACCACAACAAACACTCTTAGGTGTTTACTTGGCCTCCAAAGAATTATCTTAAAGCTATTTTTAGATGTAAAACGCAGCTACTTACATATTTGAGACAAATTTCTGTGAGCTGGAAAGCACCAGCTGCAGGTGATTACTAACTGTGGCCTCACAAAAGTGAGCCAATTTGCTCAGTTTTGTGGTAAATGTGTACAAATAATACACTGCTCAGAAAAAATGTACACTTTGAAAACACATCAGATCTCAATGGGAAAAAAAAAGACGTTGGATATTTATACTGATATGACCTGGGTAATGTGTTCAGTTTGAAAGCATGGCACAAAATGAAAATGGTCAACCTACAGGGGGCTGAATTAAAAGAAAATCAAAGTGAAAAAATTATGCAGAGTCCTTTTGTTAAAATCTCATTGCAGTGACTCAAAAATGATATCAGTAGTTTGTATTGCTCACACATGCTTGCATGCATGCCCGACAACATGAGGGCATGTTCCTATTAAGATGATGGATGGTGTTCTGGAGGATTTCCTGTCAGATATAGACCAGGACATCTCTGAGCTCCTGGACAGTCTGAGGTGTAGCCTGGTAGTGTTGGATGGACCAAAGCATAAAGTACCAGAGATGGTCTATCGGATTCACGTCAGGTTAGCCTGGGGGCGAGTCAGTGGTATCAGTTCCTTCATCCTCCAGGAACTGCCTGCATACTCTCACCACATGAAGTCAGGTATTGTAATGCAGCAGGAGGAACCTCGGACCTACTGCACCAACGTAGGTTGTCACAGTGTGTTCAAGGATTTCATCCTGATACCTAATGGCAGTCAGGGTACCGTTACCTAGCCTGTAGAGGTCTGTGTCCCTCTCCATAGATATGCCTGCCCAGACCATCACTGACCCACATCAAGCTGGTTATGCTGAACTATGTTGCAGACACTATAACGTTCTCCATGGCTTCTCCAGACCCTGTGCTCAGGGTGAACTTGCTCTCATCTGTGAAAGCACAGGGTGCCAATGTTAGACCTGCCAGTTCTGGTATTTTATGAGAAATGCCATTTGGGCTCCACAGTTCCGGGCAGTGAGCGCAGGGCTCAATGGAGGACATCTGCCACCCTCATGAAGTCTGTTTCTGATTGTTTGGTCAGAGAAATTCACTCCAGTATCCTGCTGGAGGTCATTTTGTAGCTCTGGCAGTGCTCATCCTGTTCCTGTTCCTCCTTGCACAAAGGAGCAGATACAAGTCCTTTTTATTGGCTAAGGACCTTTTGCGGTCCTGTCCAGTTCTCCTAAATGAACTGCTTGTCTGTGGGAATGGAATAGAATAAAATTTATTGTCAGTGCACATGTACAATAAAATTGTGGATTTTCTCTGTGCTCCCGAGACTGTGCTGGGAGACATACCTGTAACAAACCATCTGGCAATGATACAAATACATGTGGCATCCTGGAGTAGATGAACTATCTGTACCATCAGTAGTGACACTGACTCCAGCCAAATGCAAAACTAATGAAAAAACAGCCAGGAGGGATGAGGAGGGAAAAATGTCATTGCCCTGCAGCTGTAAAACCATTCCTGTTTTGGGGTTTGTCTCATTGTCACCTGCTGTTCATTTCATTAACACCAAAGCAGATGAAACTGCCTTGATGTTGATGAACAACCCTCCCTGCTACTTAACTGAGCAGATCAATATCCCAGAGGTTTAACTGGCTTGATTCCTTACTCTGATTTAAAAGTGTTCCATTCAGTTTTTTGACCAGTGGTTTTAAAAACTCAAAGATGTGAAGCTTGTCTGCCAAATGGGAAGAACTCTGTTGTGACTCAATCAAGTGTCTGTTTGCTTTCAAAGTGTGCAGAGGGCTTTTTTTTGGCTCAGCATTGGAGGGAGAGAAACCGCCTTTATTGACAGATTAGCAGTATCTTGCAGCTTCTGCCACAGTTTTTGTGCACCCAAAGCACCATGACCCCACACTGGGTCAGTCTGCACTCACAAATACTACAATGCTTGCCAAGCTGTCCTCTTACCTTCGCTTTTATGTCCACACTGTTGTCTGCAGTGTCACCATATTTTCATCTTATGAAGGTAATGGTGACAAATATGTCTATTTTTCTGGCTGTTCCCTACTAGTTCAGCAAAAAACTCAACAAAAAGCTGTCTCCTTCAAAACAGAAGTACAGGCCCGTTTATATATTAGCTCTAAAACTAGCACACATAAACAGTAATAAAACCCACAGTTATTTTGGGTATGCCTCTAATGTCTCCTGGAGGCTTTGGTGTTTTTGTCCGCATGCCTCAGACTGAGTTTTCTCCTTTACGAGGTGAATATCTTTCATCAAATCTGATTTTTATTTGAAATTTTTTGTTGAAATGCCAGAAATCATTAAGCATTCCTCAAAGTATGAGCCAAGAAGTCAGCTGGCACAGCTCTAACAGTTTAAAATATCGCTAATCTCATCGCTCCCTGTCTAATCATACTGGATCAGTTGCAGTATGTATTCTTGATGATCTGCACATTAGATTTTACAGAGATTTTATGCTGAACACCGTTCTTGACACAACCCATTTATCCAGAGGTGATCAGCTATGGCGTATATAGACATGTACAGAGAAGGGATGGTGGGTATATTAGCTAAAACATGTTGAATGTGGAGATGCCTTGAAGGACGAACAGAGGAAGACCATAGAGAAGATTCATCAACTGGCCTCTAAAATCTATGCATGGGGGACCACTCTTTAGGGTAGACAGCATTAGTGGAAATTAGCTGCCTTTTACTTCTATTCCACTACAGCTAGAGAAGCCGATTCTATGGAAAAGGATTATGGACACTGAAAAAAGGGACAAAAAAAGAAACAGAAAAGTCAGATTTCTGACATCAATCTCAGAATTGTGACCTGGCTCCAGAAAATGGATTGATGAATGGATAGATAATGAATGTGGCGGGAGCCATAACTGTAATTACAATGGTAATAATAGCTGTGCTACAGTGAGCCCATAGAAATGACAAGTACACTTGGCTATATCTTTGCCACAATAATGATTAGATGCCCTGAGCTGTTGCGTACTGAGTTGGTGCAGCAGCTCTGTGTGCTTGTGAGTTTGGCTGTTGCTTGGCTCGGTGAGGGCAGAGGTAGCACAGTTGTCATCTTCTCTGTTCAGGATTCTTTGTGCTCCGTGCTCTGATGTCTCTGGCCACTCACAGTTCTGCTCTTTTGACCTTTACTCTTGCCACCTAATCAGAAACACCTCTATCCCCACTGCCCGTCCAGTGCGAGTCCAACTAAACTAAACGTGCATCTTCCCCACTCAATAAAAACGTAACAAAAAATATATGCAGTAGACTATTCAGTCAATAATTCCAGCAGCATTTCTAACTTCTGATTAGGTGCACAGCCTACAGCCTGCCTCCGTAGTCGCCCACCTCCTCTTCTAAACACACCGACCTCTGAAGCCTGCAGATCCCTCCACTGAGCGGAATACGTTGTGATGTCTCAGACTGCACACATCAATCCCACACACTCGTGCTTGACCCTGCTCTCCACAGGAGGATGTCAGGCTTGCAGCTGGCCTCCTTCTTAACCCCTGGTCAACAGCTACACTCAGTAATACAATATAGCAGGCCACAGCCCTGCTGTTCTCTGTAAACTGATTTGTTGTGTAGCAGTCTATAATACAAGTAATAACCGATGTGAAAAATTCCTCAAATTCTCTTTGAAATCCAGTTTTTGCAGAGATGTAACACTAAAATGTTTCCCTTCTGGTGAAAAAAGCCTCTGTTCTATGCAGTTTATATAGACTGTTCCAATTTTAGAATCACTACAGTAAGACCCCTTCTTCTGCGATTCTCCATCAGCCCGACAACCATTGTAAACACCTCAGCTTAATGGCTGACATGGATTTGACAGGGATACGCGTGGATTTGCTTGGGCTGAAGCCAGCGTAATACAATGACAGGTTCACCCAGATTCGCCCGGTCCGTTTTTATGCGAAGGAGCCCGTTTGCTGTGCAATTATTGTAACAACGCTCAGATTAATCCCGT